GATGCAATGGAAGAAAATAGCCAAAGCCGGATGGATACCTACGATTGTGAGATAGCATCGCTGCCCAGTATCACTAATGAGATTAGTTCAAACGAAAGGGGAGCAGGGGATGGGGAAGGAGACCCAAAGTTAAGCAGATGGAAGATATAGAATTCATCGAAATAGTCGAAGTGCCTGCTGACGATATGGATGATCAGAAGTGGTGTGGATGTTTAGAGGAGAAATTTACAGGTTCGGGTGTCAGGAAATGGTCAAAGCCACTGAAATCAAACGCACAAATGTGTGTTGCCGAGGGATTGGACTAAATCCAAACTCTAGGACTGTTGGTGAACAATGATGCAGTGAAAGAACAAAGCAAACAGGCCCGGGAGGATTTTCAACCAGGTCCCACTTTGTCAAAGGCATCATGCTCGATGCGTGCGTCTATTGTTACTCCTGCATCTGAAAGAAGCTACCCGTAGAAATATGATCTACAAGGCTATTATGAAAGGCTTCTTAATATGTGGCCTGTTGTTGAACAGTATCAGGAAAATATAGAGCAATATGAATATCTACATGTATCTGATTCTGCACCGGCGGCATTAAATTCACTGCTTGAGATATTGGGTTTCATCACGGATATGTTCTGTCTATAGGCTGCGCCAGAAACCTTCAAGCCTCTGATCCATGATTAAAAAGGCTGCAGTCAATCTATTTCACCAGGAGGCCCCAAGTGCTGGGAGTTAGCTGAATGGGGGCTATAATGCATCTCAGCTAGCGGTGTTAGGGTGCTCATATGCAATCAATGCCATCAGTTGCTCCTAGAAACTGTAGCTAGCTCTTGATATGTTGTGATGCGTTGGGGTGCAGGCAGCGGCCTACACGTGCCCAAAATATAAACTTGAGTGCAGGCCAAAACTTTCCTCCTCCTCCCTCCCCCCGTTGCACTTTCCTTCCCACCCTCCTTCCCATTCTCCTTTCCTCCACACACCACACAAACTTTGACCACACGTTTGCTCTCCAACAAACAACAACAAATCTGCATCGCTCCCCGAAGATATCTTGATTGTAGATACTCTTTTGCTGAATACCGTTGTTCGTTGCTTGGAGATTTTCTTTGGCAACTTCCTCTCGCATCATTTGGTAGGTCCATTTCGGCTTCATCTCCATTCCATCCTGCATAATTTCGCACATGCTATTCCTTCAAAACTCCATCCGTTGCATCTGTAGATTACACGAGACCATTATCTCTTACTTTTCATCTGCCTTTTGCTCTCTTTGCTGCCGCTATGTCATGCCTGTTTCCTCTCTCCCAAACGTTCGCGCTGCCCCTTTGATTTCCTCGTGTACCCACAAGATACCAAGTCGTTTTCCTTCTTTCTCGAAGAGATGAAGTAAGGAGAAGAAGGTACGGGAGAAAACGCATGCGGCGATACTCAAAGTTGACTTCTACACTCGAAGCATCTTTTGACCCTCTCAAGATATTGCAGAAGTTGCTTCTCTTGTTGAAGACATAGACTGGCAATTATTTAGCTGCCGTGTTTGATGCGTATGGACATCTACGTATCACTCATCGCCAAATTTGTCGCAAAGTACTCACAGGAATTTGACCTCTCTGCCCATGTGCACACTTCATCGTTGGCAAAGGACCAGTCAACCATGACAGCCGTATTCAAGGTTCTGGCAGCTAACGAGTCGATATACAGGCATAGAACTGAGCGAATCCTGTGTCATCTACAGAATTTGACTGTGCACATTGACAGGATTGGACTTTTGATATACCTCAGCCTAGGAAAACACTGTTCGCGATGGATTCAGTTGATGAAGATTCCCCTAGTAAGTCCAGATAGTATACACTGAAGTGCAATTAAATTGTAAACTAATGATTATCTCAGCTCCCATCTCGTATTACGGGATACATGAGTCAAGAAAACGTCTTGAAGAGGCTGGATTTCATCCGAGTGTCACACCAATGGCGCCCAAAGAGATTGAGAAAGCAGTAATAGCATACTTGAACGACCAAGTCAAACGAGAACCGCGGAAAGACTTTTACGAGTCTCAAAGGCTCCGTCTTGGCGCAAGAAAACCAAGAAAAAAATGCAACAAGACTCGCGGCAAGGGCGGTGACAAAGGTCGTGACAAAGGTCGTGGCAAAGGTCGCGATAAAGGCCGAGTTGTTCTCACTCAGGTAAACAATCGAAATATGTCGCAGTCCTGGGGAACACATAAACACTGACACACGTAGGGCCCTTGGTTTAACACCAAAAACTTCAAAACTGCCATTGTGGGAAAGGACTCAGTCACACACTTCTCTGGTATCCTAGCTGTACTACAGCATGCTCATGCAGGGCCCTTGATCTTGGATGAGATTTTCAAGGATGGCCACAAGTCAGTGATGAGTCTATCCATGACTTCTGGCAAGATTTTTGGGCTGGTAGGCTCCAATATAGTGAGTCAACATCGCGTCCCCTTTCCGGCTTGATGAAAGATTGCCAAGCAAGTCTGACATGCCATAAATAGAAACGGTGGGACTTCACTGCAGCAAAGTATATTGCCAACCCCCCTTCATCTGTCATGGTCGTTATGGTTCCTCGGTATACCGTTGGAGACATACAAGAAGCTCAAGAAAAGTACCCTCGCATAATCTACCCTGAAAATTGGCGCGATGAGCGTCGAAGAATGGAATTTGAAGATCATCCCGATATATACAAAATCCGGTCAATTGAGATGGAACATATCTACTTCAGATGGGGAGGAGTCTGGCGGGAAACCTGCCAGCGGGCGGCTGGGCCTTATTGGGCGTCGGAAGACGAGACGATTGACCCACGAACCGACGAAGCAGCGGTCGAGTGGTGGAAAGGAAACCACCGCGCCATCAATGTAATGGGCTCGCTAAAACCACTCGAAAAGATGTGGTCGGCTAATCAGCTTGAGGGGAATGGTTACAAGCCACATACGATGCCTTACACTTTGGCTGTGGAGAATCTCATCAAATTGAGTAAGTACCAAGGATACCGTCTGGGCTGCTTGGAAATTTCATTCTAACATTTGTGGTAGTGCAGGAACTCTTCAGTGCTCGAGCGCATATTCGAGTGTTGCATTTGCACGATGTGCCATTCCTTGATCGCCGGGTGCTTGCCATCATTCTCCGAGGGCTACATCTTGTTACCATGGTGGGCATTTATAATTGTCCTCTTATTCATTTCGGCGATGTGATCCCAATCCTGGATCTCATTCATGAGATAAACATTCAGCGGCGCGGCCAAAATATGCCTGAGATTCAGGACTTCGATTTCTTCCCTCACTTTAACAAAGGGATGCCATATCAGCATGACAATGCGGCCACGTACGGCTTGTCCTGGAGTCCGGTGCCAATGGACATAGCCCAACGAGGTTTCTACGCCATTATCCTGAAGGCTGTGTTGAAATCAAAGGCAATGGGTATCGGTCAGCTTTTTTCATCCAACCATGCCTTTGTGGAGTATTTGACCAAGGTACCAAACACTCCACTGGGTGTTTTCGGCTTCCTAGATGCCATCTATCGCTATCTAGAGGTGAAGAAGGACGATCCTACTCGTACCAATCTGAAACTACAGGCAATCTATGACCTTGTTAAACCCATCCGGCTGGCCTTGAATGACAACTTGGCGGACGACTGGCCGAAATATTACACGAAACTCATGGCAAAAACGCTTTTGTGTTGCTCTTCGTGTGGATACGAGACTTTTGAAGAGTTTTTCCCTGCCGGTTCGAAGAATCGGTTGCCACGTCACCGACGAATCTGCGGCGGATGCCACTTGCAGCGATATCTTGACGAAGAATGCGACCACTGGAAGATGCAGAAGAAACGACTGATAGACAAATTGTGCCCCGACTGGAAAAGAGAGGCCTTCAATGAGGACGCGCCGCTCTTTGAAGAGGGAGCTGGACTGATTCGTCTTAAATCCACGGAAACAGAGCGTCCATTGCCCCAGTTCCCAGCTTTCGTTGTCGATGGCTGGCTCCGGATTTCTCCCTACTTTGAGCCATTGATGCGAGACAATAAGATCCACTTTGACTCGCTGGCTGGCTTGCCCAGCCTTGAAGACGTCGCCTTGGACTTGAACACCATGCAGCGGTGGTATTCGGTGGTTATTCTAGCTCTTAGAGAAGATGTCTTTCGACGTGGCATCCACGAGCTTCGGAATCAATACCCCACAGACAACAAGAAAAAGAGGATTCCCGCATATGGCTCTACGCGGATAGATGGTGGAGCGCCAGATCATCAAGATGAGCTCCAGCCGAAGAAAGGCTACGACGGAAAGAAGTGCTTCTATGACCAAAAGGCGGCTTTGAAGGCGGCTCAGTGGATGACCAAGCGGCAGTGGTGAACAGCCCCATTTCTTCTTTCAGTCACTCTTCTTCCCAAGGCCTTCTTTCTCGGGTTCTTTTCCGCGAGAGAGAATTTTCTTTGTTCTTCTTTTCTCAGCTCGTCTCTGAGCTCCTCCTTAAAATCCTCTTTGAGTTTCTCTTTTTTTTCTTCTCCACTCAAGACAAGGGCTTTGCGCAATTTGCTGATCTAAAAGTTGCTGATCTGGCTAATGAGCCAAGCACAAGGGACTTTGGGGCTTTGGGCATTTTCTGATGCCGAAGAGAGGTTTTCATGTATGAAAAATGTGTATGAAGAATATGTATGAGAATTTCTAAGTAAGCTATTTGGTAGCTATAGTTCATAAAGAGACATTTAAGACAAGAATGGGGCGTCTTGGAGAGGTGACTTGTACAATATGTAATAGCCATCCATAATCACTACAAACACTCAACAGCGACACCTGTAACTATGTCGTGGAAGGTGATTGTAAAGACATGAGACCATATTTCTTGCAGCTCAATACGTCCTTTTAGTTCAAACATATTCTTTTCTGCTTTTGAAACCTCTCTCTCGTCGCAGCTGAGCCAGGTTCGCGGGCGAGAGCTTTCACTAGGACAAACCACGTGACGAGCCAATCGCAAGTGCGAGCTCGCAAACTTGGACCAAAAAAATGGCCCGACGTCTAATCCTCCAACCAGCCAAGACTGCCAACCTCGCGACAATGGCATCCCTGCTGCGCACGTTTTCAATAACCACAGGGCTATTACGCTCTGCCCAGGCTGTCAAGCCGCTCATGGCCAGCCCGGTTTCCACCTGGATGGGATGGCTGTCCAAGCCCGCAATTGCAGGATCCCTGCAGCAGACGAGGGGCATGAAGGTTCACAGCTCGGTCAAGAAGAGGTGTGAGCACTGCAAGGTAGGTTGGAAATGGATTAACAGACGTCACTTTGGTGCATGCGATGGAGGACTTGTTCGTGGGCTAATATTCAAATTGCAGGTCGTTCGACGAAAGGCCGGAAAGCGACACAACGGATACCTGTACATCATCTGCAAGGCAAATCCTCGACACAAGCAGCGACAGAGCTAAGCGATTGCAAAACCTTTTTGATCTTATTTTATTTTGACGACGGCGACATATGGGCATCCGGAACAGCTGGGAAACTTTGTACAATATTGGCGCATTATGGGTGACGACGAAATGGGGCGACGGGCAAAAAAACAAAGCAAGAAAGGGTCTCGCGAACTGCCGATTGATAGACGACATTGCGGCGATGGCTCTAGACGGAGACACGAATCTAGTGAGATTTGATGTTGGAAGAGCCTGGACATACGTGTTCTTGAACAATGACGGTTGGACTGCCGTTACAAAATGTACATTTTATGTAGTGTTACATACCCCCGATATACCTCTCCATACTTTCCCATTCTGTCTTGCCTATTGATAAGAGGTATCTGATGTGAGACTTGATTGCGGAGGATTCGAGTTAGCATGGCCAATTTTTTTCTCTTCTTCTTCTTTCTACGATTCCTTGGATTGCTGGCGCAGTAAACTCACGATATCTGTGACGTTGCGATGTCGCTCAAACTCATCGCGGGCATATTTGCGAGACTCTGCTCTTGTCTGAGGATCGGCTATGCGCCCGGTGTGTCGCAATATGGTTCGATATAAAGCCAGTGCTTTTGTTCTTTGGAGAAACTGAATTTGTGAGTTGTCAATTGTAAATTGTGATTGCATATCATTTGACTGGTTTTAGGCCTGTAACATACATGATCGAGGCTTATCGTTGGCTTGAGCCGAGAGGCTGGCCGTTTGGTGGCATAGCCACGGCTGAGATGCAGCAGGCGGAGGCCGGGAATCATTAAGGATTATTCATGAACCAAGGATAGACTATAGTACAGTAGAACTAAGGAAAAAAGGAAAAGAAAAGAAAGGAGTACCGATTTTCTTTTTGATTGACGTTTAATCAAGTTGAAAAAGTTGGCGATAATGTTTTACAAACCACAATAGTGCTTGAGTCGGCCAAACCTCGGGTAGCGGTGTCGATGGCTTCTTGAGGCCGAATTACACCGACCTTTGTGAGCTTTGAAGTAAATCGGCACCTATGTGATTAATAGTTGCTGTATGTATTTGATTTCAAATCGAATGTTATAATGATTGATTCATTGTACGCGAACAACCTGTAATTTCTGAAACCTTAGCGGTAGAGATAAGATAATTCGACTTGGATTGATCTTTGGCTCCGTACTGCAGGCGCATCTTTCTTCATACTACACTCCTTTATCCCAAAGCGGAGAGGCAGAGTCTACGCACTATGGCTGAAGAACAAACAAATATTATCACAGCCAAGGCTAGGAAATCTCAAAAAACTAGCCCAATTGCTGTGGCCAACGATACGACCGATGAGGAGTTCATTAGATATTATTTGAAGCCAAGGTATATAGATCTAGATTCAATGCCCAACGCTTCCATATACTCCCCTGCCTTTCAGCGAAATATTCTAATAAGATAACGTCGATGTTTAATAGCGAAAGATGGACGTCATGGACACATCCCCTCACAAATCAGAGCTATTCCCTTGAGCTTCTATCGCCTCGAGCACTCAGCAAAGACGACTTCAAGGCTTGCTTCGACATCATTGAGTTTACTAGCGGAGAGGATTACAAGAACGCGTCGACGGGATGGCATCCCGCTATGAAAAAGAAGGAGATGAAGTCGCCAGACCTGCGATATATCCTGGTCAAAGATGAAAGCGGCACAGTCAAGGGATTTACTTCGCTGATGCCCACGTTTGAGAACCACGAACCTGTGCTGTACTGCTACGAGGTGCATTTGTTACCTGAGCTGCGGGGGTAAGTAATTTCACCTTTGACCATCTCTTGCACTTTCTGGTTCTATGAGAAACATATCATAGTCAGGACAGTAACATGAAAGCTAACCATTTCATCTTACGCTCGATTTAGTTCCGGTCTCGGCAAGCACCTCATGAATTTCCTCATTACCATTGCAGAAAACATCCCTTCGACCAAAAAGGTCATGCTTACATGCTTTATCAGCAATACCAACGGTCTTCGATTTTACGAAAAGATCGGCTTCACCAAAGATGATTTTTCGCCTAGAGATCGTGTACTAAGAGGAGGCAAAATTGTGCGCCCTGATTATGTGATTCTGAGTCGTGAGACGGCACATAATGGGCTTGTGGATGGGGAGATGGGGCTGGAAGGTGATGAGAACTAGAATGCTACAAACAATATTATAGACAAGACGTGGCGAGCGATGAATTTATACGTTTATGATATCTTACAGGCGAGAGCTGATTGTGGCCGTATCTGCAAGTATGCCATCTTCTTAGAGACGCAGTTTGAAATCCAAAGCTTTGGAGAGCACCCACATCCATCCATCCCATCGCTACCCAGGAGGCAAGAAAAAAATTTCACAGCATGGCTCGCGCATTCAAGTCTCGCAGAATTTTTGGCATGCCCTGAGAGGGCAACCGCTCTTTATTAAATTGGCAAATCATTATTCATGTCATGAAAAAACGCCGTGCCTGCCTCTTAAACCTTGATGGGAGGTCTTTTGTCTACTCGATATCTTTCAAGCTTCTGACCACATATAGCCTAAACCCAAACTCCCGAAATCAGATACAGCCCTTTCCTTTTCCTGCCTTCTCCTTTTGTATAAAAACCCCTATCCAGAAGTCTTCGTGTCAAAATCATCGCAATTATGCATAAAGCTTCTTCTCATAAGACTCCATGTTCACGTTACCCTCCAACTGAGCGCTGGCTGTGCGAAGCTCAAATCGCAGGACGCCAGTGGTGGCACATTCGTGCAGCTCCTTGAGACTGCGCATACCGCAGTCCTGCATAGAGTGCTTGAGACCAGCAGCAAGGTAAGGAACGAACTTGGAGATCGATCTAAACAATATGTTAGCTTTAACGATGCCCTTTCCTATAGTGAGCTTTCGCGGTCTTCAACTTACCCTCGGTGAGCCACGGCACCAGCGACACCCTGAGCAACCAAGACACTGTCACCCTCAGAGAAGTAACGAGCAGTACCGGCATTGCTCTTCTGGCTGTCCTTACCGCCATTACCGGCCTTCTTATCCTGCATAGCATCAATGGAGCCCATACCACGGTAGGCCTTGACCAGCTTTCCTTCGCGAGAAACGAAAGAAGTACCGGGAGACTCAGTTGTACCAGCCAACAGGCCGCCCATCATGATAGTGGAAGCGCCAAGAGCAAGACCCTTGGCAATGTGACCAACGTTTTGGATACCACCATCAGCGATGCAAGGAACGCCAAAGCGGGCAGCGAAGCTGCTGACTGCGTGAACAGCAGCTGCCTGGGGTCGGCCGACGGCCATGACCTCCTGAGTGATACAGGCAGAGCCGCTTCCCATACCAATTCGGAGACCGTCGACGCCAGCAGCGATGAGGCTGGCAGCCTGCTCTCGGGTAACAACGTTTCCACCGATAACATCCAGATCGGGGAACTGAGCCTTGGTCCACTTGATCATCTCAACCTGGTACATGCTGTTGCCCTGAGAGCTATCAAGGATAACAACGTCGAGACCAGCCTCGACCAGCTTCTGCAGACGGATCTTGTCCTCAGGCCGGGTGCCAATAGCAGCAGCGCAGAGCAGCTGCTTGCTATGGGGAAGCTTAGAAGCCAGCGGGAAGTGCTGGTTCTTGGTCAAGTCAGAGCGAGAAATCATGGCAACCAGGTTAAAGTCCTTGTCGACAATGGGGAGCTTGCCCTTCTTGGACTGGGACAGGATTTTGTTCGCCTCGGTCAGGGTAACGCCATCGGGAGCAGTGATGAGCTCGTGGACCATGACCTTGGAGACAGGTGCGCTGTGGTCATCTTCGAACTGGATGTCTCGGTTGGTGACAATACCCAGGAGCTTTGAGCCGATCTTGCCGTCCTCTGCATGTCTGAATTAGTAACCAAGTCGCCAATTTGCTTCAGTTGGATAATATTAGGTAGGAGACATGTGCAGGTCATAGTATAGGTGGTCCTCAGGACAAAGGTCTTTTGGTGGAACGAAAGTTATAATTTAAAAAGGTTTATAATCATGTAATGCAGTAGATGAAGTGATTGAGTGAAGATGTGAAAATTTTTCTTACCTGTGACTGGGAAACCACCGAAGCCCCATTTCTCCTTAAGGGCGATGGCCTCGCCAACTGTGGTGTCGCGGGTGATGACAACGGGGTCAAGAATGAAGCCGTTCTCGTAACGCTTGACCTTGCGGACCATGTCGGCCTGAGCCTCGGGAGAGCAGTTGTGGTGGATAACACCCAGACCGCCCTGGAGAGCCATGTGGATGGCCATCTCGTGCTCAGTGACTGTGTCCATGGGCGAGGAGACGAAGGGGGTCTTGAGGGTGATGCGCTTGGTGACGGCAGAGTCCAGGGTCACCTCTGAGGCAGGGAAGCCAATGTAGCCAGGCAGGATCAGGAAGTCATTGTAGGTCAGGCCGCCGTGCTTGGCCGTGTCCATGAGCTCCTGTCTGTCGAGGCCATCGCGAGTCTTGTACTCTTCCAGCACCTGCAGAGCAGTGGTGTGGTCGAGGATCTTGGCAGAACCGTTGATGGCGGCCATTTTTTCTGTTGTGAATTTATAAATGAGAAAAGATGACAGACAAAGAGCGAGGTTGAAGACGAAGGATCAATCAAATCAGGATAACTTGATCGACTGTTTGGACTTGATACGGCGCTTCTTCCCGTAGGAAAGAAGAAAGAAAAAAAATTTAAAGCGGACCGCCTGAATTTTTTTTCTACTTATGCTTGGCCACTACAGGGTCCGAGTTTAGGAGGGGCAGTGGCTTCAGCGCGGGGCCTCTAAATTCATGACTAGGTGCTGCTTGATCTATAAGCAGCGCCAGAGTTTACACGTCCATTACCCTACAGTGTTGGGTCTAATAGAAGAATTCTTCTTGGGGTATGGAACTTTGGGTTGTGATGGCGCTTGTAAAAGGTAAACTTTATCGTATGGAAGCATGTGCTACTCATTATTGAGGCTTGTAAGGTTTTTGCAGCTTGGCCGGAAATATTCCCGTGAGTGGATGAGTTCGTATAGCTACATGTAGGTACTCTTACACGATACACTAATTGGCTGTGCTCTGCATCTAGATGCTCTTTAACTGACCCCACAATCTGTGGCATATATGGACACGCCACCACAGTGCCGCATTTGGACAAAGATAGGCCTATGTGTTTACTTTAAAAGCGCCTATACTCCGTAGAAAGTTATTCAATCCAAAACACCCGCAAATGTTATACACTTCCAGCAGCATCTGTACATGTAGCTTGCTGTGGCTGCTTGCTGTGGCCCCTCCAACACCCCGCCGTGAGTCCGGAACCCTGTCTGTAGCGCCTACCTACTCAAGAATCTGGCAGCAGTACGTCACTTCGGATTGCTGCGCCGGAGTATCCCCGGAACAGTTTGCATGCATGTGCATACGCGGACGGGACTAGCGATTCTGCTGTCCGCGGGATGGGGAAGCTGTCCGAGGAACTGCAGCCTTGGAGATTTAATCTGCTCGTTTCTAATCTCTCGACCAAGAGCCGTAGATTGGTGCTGTACCTGCGCGAGGCAATGATAGGCCGCATCGCCTGAGTTTTGTAGTTCGTGAGCTTGCGACAGCTGAGCCGCGACTCTGGCTTGGCCCCTCTTAACCTCAAGCTGCCAGCCGGCGCCTTCGCACGACACCGAGACACACGCATCCTCCCGAGAACGCGCTGCATGTCGGACAATGTGATGGAATTTGCGATACAATGTCTGATCCTGAAGACCCATCTCCTATCGGGGAGCCAGTGGCGGACTACGAGAACCCAAGTACTGCCGTAGAAAACGATGACGACGCCGATGTCCCGCAGCTCGAAGAACAAGACATACCAGAAGACCCCGACTCTGTGGATCTTGAGGAGGAGAAGCATACCGTAGATGCCACAGTTGTAGAAGCATCTGCTCAAAATGGGGACATTTCGGAAATCACATCGGCGGACGCTAGCTCTATTGATGCGATCCCGCGCAGAGCAGGGAGTCCCATTGAGTCTGTCACCTCTGCAGCGGGAGATTCTCCCTCGGTTCAGGTACGTGATGCTCTTAGTATGATTAGACTAGAGAAATGTCTGACAGGCATAGGGCTCGCGCGTTTCCTCTCCAAGCAGCAGTGTGTTGCCAACAGCTGCCTCCCGCTCAGGGCTAGGCAGCCCGACGCCGTCCTTCCGACCCTTTGATCGACGATTCCAATCCCGCATATCCTCGTTCAACGCCCTCAGCCCTCGTCCTTCGTCTCCTGCATTTGCGGCCAGCCACAGCCGCCACGCCTCTTACAGCTCTAATTTTCCTATAGATCAGGCTGATACAGATACGCCATCGCCACCGTGGGAAATCGTAAGGTGGACTAGACTGAAGAAGCTGAATAGCTATGCGTTCTCAGAATCAGGGAAGCGGAACTTTGGATCGCCTACATGTCTTGCTGTGTCCGCTTCGATTTTCTTGGGAACTTCCAAAGGCATAATCTTAATGTTTGACTATAGCCAAAACTTAAAACTGATCATCGGCCCCGGGACTAAAGGTATGTTCTGTAAAGACGTGTAAGTGTGCATGGCTGATTTTGATAGCTGTTGAGTCTGGACATATTACTGCCCTTGCTGTATCAGCAGATCATACAACCATAGCCGGCGGCCATTCCAATGGAAACATCTTTACTTGGGATACAACACGGCCTTCACGGCCTTTCCTCACAATCCCGCATCTAGACGACTCTCAAGTACAGAATAGGACGGTGGATGGTCATATGCCGGAAGCGTCCGTCATCCATATAGGATTTCTGGGGACCCGGCACACAGCTCTCGTATCCGCAGATGACCATGGCATGGCCTTCTCCCATCTTGCCACCAGAGGTACTGGGCCACTAGGCAGAACGGTCAAGACCACGAGGATATTGGGCCGGTATCCCAATGCGCCAATGCCTCCAGGCAAAACAATCAAGCCTAGCACTGTTCTAGCCTTTGCGCCTCTGCCATTGGGAAACATTGAACGTGCGACAGACAAGATGGGACTGACTGCTATGCTTACCCCTTACTTACTTGTCATTGTTTCCACGACCCCAGTGGCGCAGACGCAACACAAGTCGGCCCGTCCTAAAGATGTTCCGGCTCACAGCGCGATGACGGGCTGCTTGGCCTGGTTTCCTGCTGTGAACCTCAAAGTTCCAGACTCACACACTGGGTCTACCATTTCAAAAGCAAAACTAGCGTATTGTTGGTCTAATGTGCTAACAGTGCTGGACGTCGAAGAGATTCCTGGAGATGATGCTGATCAGCCACCATCGTTGAGGTTCAAAGCTCGAAGTAGATGGAAATGCGAAGAGTCCATTGCCGCTGTGCAGTGGCTTAGCCGCTCTGTCTTGACAATCTTGACAATTTCTCAAAGATTGATCGTTCTAGAAGACAGAACCATGCGCATGACGGAGGCGTTTGATCTATTGGAGAGATACATCTATCACACTGATCTTTTCTCCACACAATTACATTCTCTTGTGGAAAACCTAGACGAAAATGATACATCGATGCATGGGGTTGTAGCCGACGCCTTTTATATGAGTTTCAAAGCATACAAAGGGAGAATGTTTCTCCTAGGTTTCAACGACGTGGCTATAGGCGCATTGTCAAATTGGGCAGACCGACTTATTGCCACAATGGAGCACGGTGACTATATAGGGGCGATTCAGCTGGCTACCAGCTATTATACTGGCGAAGCCAACAAGTTGACCGTCGGCCTTCCCGACGACACTGATCTTAGACATAACATGGTTCGCGACAAGCTCATGGAGATAACCAGCGCCTCTCTAAAATACGCTTTTACGCAGAGACAAAAGCACAAGGCATCTGTGGATGATGATCAGTTGAAACAGCTCGCTGAAACTTGTTTTGTGGCTTGCCAAACCGTTGGCAATGTTGACTTTCTGTTTGAAGAGCTATACGAATGGTATAGCGATGCTGATGCCGAAGGCATATTTCTCGAAACACTTGAGCCTTATATCCTTGACCAAACTATTACGATTGTTCCACCTACAGTGGTCAAGGATATGGTAAACTACTATGTTATCAAAGGATGGGAAAGCAGGCTTGAGGAGATGATATGCCATATGGAGACGTTAACTTTAGATCTGGATCAGCTCACCATTCTCTGCAAGCAACATAATCTATACGACGCGCTTACCTACGTCTGGAACCAAGCTTTGCAAGATTACATTACCCCAATGATTGACCTACTCAATCTACTGGTCCCTCTGATGTCCAACGGGGATTTTATGGCTGGTAGCACAAACGATGACTATTACGGCGTGAATGCTGTCAAAATATTTCCTTACCTCTCCTACATTCTCACGGGACGAATTTATCCAAGCGGAGAGATAATGGACGAAGAGATAGCTTATAGGGCCAAGGCGGAGATTTACTGGTTTTACTTTTCTGGAAAAACTATTTCATGGCCCAAAGGTAGCGGCAAAGAGTTTCTCACCAGGACCAACGGAGAACCAGAGCCTGCATTCCCATATCTGAGAATGATTCTCAAATTCGATGCCCCTAGTTTCCTCAGTGCTTTAAACGAAGCGTTTGAAGACTCGTTTTTGAACGATTCTTCTGAAAAACACTCCAATGGAAGTGGATCTAAGATGGACATGCCCGAGGAACAGATCTTTGGCTTGACAATCAATCGACAGTACATTTTATCAATCTTGTTGGATGTAATGAATCCATCGGATTTTGCTCCGGGAGACACGATATACCTCGACATGTTTATTGCTCGAAATCTCCCCAAATTTCCCCAGTATCTGCTGTTCTCTGGCACGACTTTGTCAAATGTACTCACAGGACTATGCAATTACCCTGGTCCTGATCTTGCTGAGGATGCACAGCTGAGTGCTGAATATTTGCTATCAGTTTATCATCCTTCGGATATGCTTGCGTTAATGCCATTGCTCAAGCAGGCTGGCTTCTATCGAATTCTCAAACGAGTATATAAAGTCGATAAACAATATGGAAAGCTGGTGCAAACATACTTTGAAGATGCAGAAGACCAAGATCTGGTCTTTGACTGCATTGCAGAATGTTTACGACCTCATAGCGAATTGAGCCAAAGACAAAGACAGGAAGTGTTGGAAGTTATCAAAAATCACGCAAAGGAGTTGCTTGAGCTGAGCGCCGAGCGTTCAGCCTCGACGCTTGCATCACAAGAGACAGAGCTGCACCAACATGTTCTAGCTTCTGCCGTTGACGCCCCTGGATTACAACATGCGTATCTGAAAACGCTTCTTGAGCCAGAAGATCCCTTGGCGGATGAGCAGCAAACACTCGGTCGGGATCTTGTCGAACAATATGTTCAGCTCATGTGTAAATTTGATCCACAACACGTTTCGGACTATATCGGGTTTGTTCAGTCAGTCGACCTTCAATTAAACAACCTATTACCCGTTATGGAAGAAACTGGTGTGGTAGATGCTGCTGTAGTCCTCATGGCCAATGCGGGACAAGTCACCGAGGCTATGGAGCGATTAGTACGACACTTGGGAACGCTCGAATCCGCCATGGAAGGTCTGTTGCGATCGCATAACACGAATGACGGAGAGGATGATAGCTCTCTTTCTCTGCAGCCAGCGGCCGAAGCCCTGCTGGAGAGCCTGCAAAAGTATGTCCATGTTGGGATTTGGTTGTGTCAGGATCAGACAAAGGCACCACGGAGGACCAGCGTGGTATCGAAGAATAAGGCTGCCCAGGAGAACTTGTCCGCAGATGAAACTCTGTGGCTGAGTCTCATCATTGCCTGTGTGCAGGTAACTCAAAACTTGACTCCATCTATTCTGGCTGTTGCCAACGAAGATGCGCTTGATGAAGAGACGCTTTTGGCAAAGCTGCGATCGCTTGTACAGCATACATTCACTTCCTTGCTTGTTTCTACTTCAAGTCAGGCTTCGAATCAAGCAAACGGCCAGCCAGGTGCTGTTACTTTCTCAAACCCTGCGTCGAACCTCTCCTTCTTGCGAGTTCTGAGATCGTTCCTCACCCAGGTTGCAGCATCGTCTCCAAGTTTGGCAGACCTTCGTAACGTTCTTGCGTCTATATTTTCCGCATATGCTTACGAAGAGTCTATTCTCCGTCTGTCGAACCGTCTTATAGAACGAAATTTGTTCACAAACGTCAACGCATCTGTTGAGCTTCGACAGCGTGGATGGAGGCCGCGGGGCTCTACCTGCGAAGCTTGTGGCAAAAGAGTCTGGGGTCCGGGCCTTGCTGGCACCTCTGTTTTTGAAGCCTGGGAAGACAAGCAGACACTCGAAGATGCGGCCAGAAAGCAGCGGCAGACACGAGTTGCGGAGCAAGCCAAAGGCCAAGCAAGAATCACGGATGGGAGGAGCAAGGGGAAGAGCTTGGACATGCGGCCCTCAAGCATGCTGCTCGAGCAATACGCCGGAAACTCTAATAAAGACCAGTTGCTGGGACCGTTAGTTGTACTGGCCTGTCGACACATCTATCATCAGACATGTCTAGATGCGTTACAAGAGAAGCAAGAGAACGGCATCTTGCCGAGGGATCTTGATTACAAGTGCCCAATTGATGGAAGAAGCCATATGTGATGGGAAAGATTATATAGATGTCTATTGTTTGTGTATGTATATGCTAGCGAGCAAAACAATGGCGAGTTGTGTCTTGTGGATGATGGCGAAGTGAAATGGGAGGTCATTGTCATTCTGCTTCTTTTGGGATAGGAATAGATAAGAGATGAGAGATATGAAGTTTATGAATTATTTAACTAAACTCTGGTAGCACTCTTATTATATTGTTGGGAATTTGCTGTGCTGTTGTTTTGTTTTTTCGAGGAGCAAGAATGAGCACATTGACCTCAAGCTCTGCTAATGCTTGAAGCCGCTATAAATTAGTGGCGTGGGCGGCTTCCAATAGGTAGGTAGGTACGCGGGAGGCTATACTCCGTCACTTCGTCTTATACTTGCCAACTACAACAATCCAAGCAACATACCTCTACGGCCCTCGCCTGGCCGCGTACAATCCCGCCATGTCTGGCTCAGACGTGGACGGATCCGATGGCGAATACATCTCCGACAACCAGTCCTCAGGCTCCTCCGACCAAGAATCGCCGCCGCCGCCTCTGTCGCAAAACTACTTTGCACCTCCATTCTACGGCCGGCCGCCCACGCCTCTGCCCCCGTCGCCATCTCTCACGTCGCTCCTCCGCCCTTCGCGTCCGACAACTCCAGATGCCTCGGACGATGACATTGCTCCCGTGCCGCGCACCGCGCCGAAAGTGCCGACGTACGAGTACTACGGCTTCGTGCTGTACCTGTTCAGCAGCCTCATCTTCCTCATGTACCTACTATGGAGCTACCTCCCGGCGCCGTTCCTACATGCGCTGGGCATCTACTACTACCCGGACCGCTGGTGGGCGCTGGCCGTGCCGGCGTTCCTGGTGATGACGGTGGTGTACATTTACGTGGCGCTGGCGGCGTACAACCTGGAGATCTTGACGGTGCCGATGACGAGCGTGGAGACGATTGTGGACGGGGCCGGGGCGCTGGCGATGATTGATTCCAAGGGCAGGCTGAAGGGGAGCGGCAAGAGGGAGAAGAAGTGCGAGAGCAATGGGAAGTTGAGGTGGAGGGAGGTTTGGAACGAGGGGACGGATGCGGTGCTGGATGTGCCGCTGGCGGGGGTCTGTGAGGTGCTGTATGGGGAAGGGAGGGATGTGTCTGATGGCGAGGAGGAAATATTATGAGGTTTTTGTGTGAATGGGAACTGGGATTGATTTGTATGGTTATCTGTAATGGCGTTTTTGATAGACCAGCGACTGGAGGACTGATATTGATGTTTAGGAAGACGTCAACCTGGCTTATGTTTAGATACGGCTGTATACCCATGGTTAATTCATTCGGCATGCGCAATAAAAATGATAGTGCTTGTCCATCATTCGTCTAATTGACGTAACTGATACTACTTTTCATATAAATGCCGGCCTCAATCTTGAAGCTCCCGCCCGTGGTTTAGCGCGTAAAGGGTCCGTCTATAGCGGCATTCCCCACCACAGCCTTGCAGGAAAAAAAGTTGCACGGCTGAGCTACAAAATTTCTAGTGCTATACACAAAGTCCAGGTCCATGTCACCAAATTCTCTTTTGCCTCATTATTAGGTAAATCAAGGCGCAAACTGCTAAAATTTTGCTGCGCCTTTTCCTTTCAACATGGATATCCTCAAAGTACTGTCGCGCGGTACCAAGAAGAGCGCAAAATCGTCACTCTCAGGCGGCAGCGCAGTGGGCAAACTGCCCTCTTCTGGAACAAAGACCAACCCGCAGCTCTACCACGACGAAGTTCGCGGCCAGAAACGAAAGCGCGATGTCGAAGAGCCCGAGAACAAGACCCCAGAAGTGCTTCCCGAAGTCGACTTCTTTGCGCCCAAGGACGTTGCGGAATTGAAACCTGCCAAGAGGGCCGAGGCGAAGAAGGGCTCCAAGCGAGCGGCCAGTCCTGACGCTGAAGCAGAAGCGAAGCTGTTGAGCGCCGAGGAGTGCCGCCAGCTGCTGCGGTCGCATAGATTGAAGGTGACGCTGCTTGGAAAACGAGACGAGCAACATAAAGTCAAAAAGTCGAAGAAGAAGAAGGCCGTTGTCGAGGTTAAGAAGGACAAGAAGCCGCCGCAGCTGAACCCGCAGCCACTGGTGTCGTTTGGCCAATTGCGAAGCACATACAACTTGTCACGCAGGGTAGCTGAAAATCTTTCATACCAGGGCTATCGTGTGCCCACAGAGGTTCAGATGGGAAGCATGCCGCTGCTGATTCGGCCTGATCTGGCGCTGAAAGGCGAGGAAGGGCTGGAGAAGGGCATTGACTTGCTTGCTGTGGCACCGACTGGAAGTGGAAAGACGATCAGCTTCCTTGTTCCGACGATTAATAACATTATGAGGAGGAGAGCGCAGGAGAAGCTGCATGGAATCCATGAGCTTGAAGCGATTGTGATTGTGCCGACTCGAGAACTTGCGTATCAGATTGTCCATGTTGGAAATCAGCTGGTCAAGGGAACAGGAATCAAAATTGTCGGAATGAGAAAGGGCATGATTCTTGCTGCTGAAAGTCAAGACATTGGTGAAGATAGCTCAGACGACGAAGAAGAAAAGCCAGAGGAGTCTGAAGAAGAGGAAGAAGAGGAAGAAGACGAGGAGGAGGAAGGAGATGAGAAAAAAGGAAAAAGCAGGAAGCCCAAAGTCATGTCAAAAGTGGATATTTTGATCACAACGCCTCTTCTGCTGCTCAACTTCCTAACTTCTGGATCGGCGAGCACACAAAAGGTTCTACCAACAGTTCGCGATCTGATACTGGACGAGGCAGATGTCCTCCTAGACCCTCTGTTCCGTGAACAGACTCTTGGCATCTGGAATGCCTGCAGCAGCTCAGACCTTCGGCTCTCATTCTGGTCCGCAACTATGGGATCTAACATTGAGACGCTGGTTACCGAAAAGCTGGCTTCGCGAGCAGAGTCTCTGGGGATCACCCAAAGACCATTGGTCCGATTGGTTGTCGGTCTGAAGGACACTGCTGTTCCGAATATTGTGCACAGATTGATTTACACTGCCAGCGAGCAGGGAAAGCTTCTCGGTCTGCGACAGCTCTTACGACCTACTTCAAGCATTGATTCAGGGCCGCCGCTGCGACCGCCTTTCCTCGTCTTTACACAGACTATTGACCGAGCTACGGCTTTGCAAGAAGAACTCAAGTACGATATCCCCCTTGAGGCGGGTGGTTCATCTAGAATAGCTGCTCTGCACAGCGGCCTCCCCGATGCAGCCCGAGCGGCAATTATGCGAAAGTTCCGAGCTGGAGAGATTTGGGTTCTCATCACCACCGATGTCTTAGCTCGAGGCGTTGACTTTGCCGGTGTCAATGGAGTCCTGAACTACGATGTTCCCGGCTCGAGTGCCGCCTATGTGCACCGAGCAGGAAGAACAGGACGAGCTGGCCGCGAGGGCGGCATCGCCGTTACTTTCTACACCAAGGACGACATTCCCTTTGTCAAGACTGTAGCAAACGTTATTGCCGAAAGCGAGAAGCAGGCCGGCAAGCCAGCAGAGGAATCTTCAGTGCAAAAGTGGCTGCTTGATGCTCTGCCAAATGTCGGCAAGGAGGACAGGAAGAAGCTCAAAGAAAGGGGCGTGGAGTCGAGGAGGACTGGAAATACAGCCCAAATTACATCCAGGAGCGGATATGAGCGGCGCAAGGAGCATAACAGGAAGGGTGCTATTGAAGGAAGCAAGAAGAGAAAGATGGAGGCTGGAGAAGATAATGGCAAGGGTAGGGATGGCGAATGGGGCGGCATTGATGATTAGCTTTCGCGATAACCAATATACACAAGCTAAACGTGGCATTTCATGATAAAAAATTTTGGTTTTTGGAGTTATCTCTATGGCCCCTATTCTATTGTACACTGTCTCAATGGAGACATATATGTATTACTACAAGATTCTATACATCCCATAAATATCTCTTAAGTCTAATCATGAGAAAATCGTAGCATCTTATTTCTCATTAGCTTTCTCGTCAGCTGACAATCCAACCACATTTCTCAACGTGCCAAAGCTTAGGCAGTCGCTGATACGGTTGGCGCCCGAAAAGAGCATCACTAGGCGTTCGACACCGCATCCCCAGCCACCAGTGGGGGGAAGGCCGTAGTCAAGAGCCTTCACGTAGCTCTGATCAAGAGGGGACGCTTCCCACTCGTCTTCTTCAACCGGCTCAATCGGGGTAGTCTCAGCATCAGTATCCAACGCCGGCTGCTCTGCGAATCCTACAGTGCCGTCAGGCTTGTTCACGAGGCTGCGATGGACTGCCAGTTTTCGTTGCTGCTCTTCCGGGTTGTTCTCCTCCTCATACATATTGGCGAGTTCTCGGCCACCAATGAAGAGTTCCGCACGAGCAGAAACTAGTTGATAAGTCTTGGGACAGAGGAAGCTCTTTGCTAGCGGAGACATGCAGGCGGGGTGATTCGTGATGAAAATCGGCTCTGTGAAGGACATGGGCTCTATATAAGTCGCGGCGAGTCGATCAAGGAGCTTTGGTAAAGATGTGGGCACCTCTCCGGGAATCTCAATGCCCGAGAGCTTCAGAACGGCAAGGAGTTCGGGGAGAGCACCATCTTCCGCAGAAAGCTTCGGGAAGCGAACCCCGATAGCTTCTTCCAAAGCGGGTATAAATTCCACCTGTTTGAACGGCCTGGTGAACTTGCTGAGGTCGATAGGAGGCAGGGTGGTAAGCTGCGTGGATATCAACTCTTGGGAGTGCCTTGCAAGAGTAAAGATCAGTTCTTCCGTCTCCTTGATGAGATCAGGAAGATTGGTATAAGCACTGTAGAATTCACACATTGTGAATTCCGGATTGTGAGTGGCATCAACACCTTCATTTCGGAAAGCAGGACCCATCTCGAAGACTTTGTCTACGCCGCCGACGACCAGACGCTTTAGCCATAACTCGGGCGCTATCCTAAGTGCAAGATCTTTGCCTCGGAACTCTGTGGCTCGTGTTACAAACGGTCGCGCAACAGCACCACCAGCGTTCTCAGCAAGAATTGGCGTTTGGAACTCGAGGAATCGCTTAGAGTGGAAATGATCTCGGATCTGCTTCATAATTTCGGATCGTAATCTCAAGATGTCGACGACGTCTCGATTCACTAGCATATCGACATGGCGCTCTTGCATTTTGGTCTTGGGGTCCGTGAGCTTCTCCGGAACTTGCTCCATGGATGGGGAGAGAAGCTCAGGTAGCTCGCGAGCCTCAAGGGAAAGCTGCCCTGTGTTTGTACGAGTGGCAATACCAGTAACCGCTACCAATCGGTTAGCCCTTGCAGAGGTAGCAGAGAAGCATAATCGGCCTACATATATGGTCTCCAACTTGGATCAAATTCTTAAGGAGGCGAAATTTGTGAACACGAGATTGCTCCTCTGAAGCAACTTTGCTTTTGTTGATCATAATTTGAACTTTTTGAAATTCATTGGTTATGTCGAGGAAGATGAGAGAATTGCCCACAACGCGTTTTGATCGAATTCGCCCAGATAAAGTGACGAGCTCGCCCGAAAGCTCATCGTGGGATTCTTGCAGAAACTCAGGGACGCTCTTCCTAATAGATGACGATTCTAGTCGAGGATAAGCCTCTGGGTATAGCGGATCCTCGCTCCTTTGATCCTCTTGCAATTCTTTCCTTCGATGCCTCTTGAACGGCGAGATGCCATCTTCTTCCTGCTTTTCCTGCTCCTCTTTTGCAAATCTCGAAGATTCATTGATGTGAATTCCAGATTTGGCAGAGAAAGCTCGAACGGCTTGTCTGTTTGCAGACTCAAGGCACAACGAAGGGGGCGCCCAACCCCATGGTGCAGTTGAAAGAGTGGCTCTTGGACCAAAGGGCCTTAAGCCACCATTCAACGCAGCAGACTGGCGCGCCAGTCTTATGCAGCTGGCGGATCTCATCTCTTCTAAGCGACGACTGTCAGCTATTGCCACCATAGAGCAAGCGGATTGTGTGAAAAGATGGCAGTAGGTTATAGTGATCAGGAAAAGGCAGGTTATTTATCTCTAACAGCAGAGCTGTTTCAATCGCAGCGGTTCTGAAGCGAGATTGCGAATTCATCATGATGACAGTTGAGAAAAAAAAATGCAGAAGAACTTACAAACATAGCGACGGCACTGGAATATATGCCTCGTGTGCAAGAAACGCAGATGCGCATCCAGCAATCCAGACACCAGTGCTTTGAAGGATGGAAATTTGTGCCTCAGCCGGACAGTGTGGGCTGTGTTTTTTTTTTTTTTTTTTCAGTGCACTGGCGCCTCCCCCGTAATTGGAGACACCCCGCCAATTGCATGCAGCTCACTGGCTAGCCTTCCTGCTAAGCTCAACACCAAGGCCAGGCTGAAATTTGTTCCGACGCGCCATTCCTCAGTACCTCCAGCCATTGCTTCCAGCTTACACGCGTGTCGTTTCGCATCTCACCAGACCGGCATTGGAGCTTTTCGCGCAATCCCTACGAATTGGCCCGCCAACAATCGCTGCCTTACCACGCGCATCGCAATCATGGCCCAGCAGCCTTTGCCCACGTCGGCTCAGCCAACCGACATCTACGGCGGAGGTTCGTTTGTCACTGCTTGGGCAGGGCGAATCGATGCGCTGCACGAGATTTGGAAGTTAAGCAAGCTAATGTAATGTGTAGATGAGGTCTCTGCCCTCGTTCTTGACCCCGGCTACTGCAATACGCGAGCAGGCTTCGCTGGCGAAGATGTCCCCAAGTCAATTCTACCATCGTTCTACGGCCATGTCACCAGCGACCCTCCCCGAGATTTATTTGGCGACGAGTGCATCATCCCACGAAGCGACTTTGAGGTCCGCAACTACATGAACAAGGACAGCGTCGTAGAGGACTGGGATGTGGCGGCTAAGATGTGGGAATTCATGCTGGTTAAGCGCCTACAGCCCGAGCGACAGACGCCGCCATCAAAGAATAAGCTAAACGACGACGTGAAGGAGCAGGATGGCGAAGGAGATGTCGCGATGGAAGAAGTCGAGACGATGGAGAAGGCTCTAGAAGAGTTCCCCTTGCTGATGACAGAAGCTCCGTGGAACTCGCCCAAGGCACGTGAAAAGGCCATCGAGCTCAGCATGGAGAGCTGGGGGACTCCCGCCTTCTGGCTAAGCCGGACTCCCGTTCTGTCGTCATTCGCCGCTGGAAAAGCTACTGCCCTTGTCATTGACGTTGGTGGCGCCAATACCTCCGTTACAGCTATCCATGATGGCATGGTTTTGAAGCGATCTATCCAGCGATCACCCGCGGGCGGTCTATGGCTGTCTTCGCAGATCCGCAACATGTGGGAAACTTCCGAGCCGAAAGTGGACTTGGTTCCGACGTTTATGGTTGAGAACAAGTCTCCCGTGGATGCTCTTTCTCCTGCCCAGGCGCGACTACGCGAGTTCCCTTACAAGATCCACGACTCTTTTCGAACATTTGAAGAAGAGCGGCTGTTGACCGAGTTCAAGGAGTCCGTTGTTGAGGTTTGGCGTGGACCTGGAAGATACGGCGCCGCTGGAAACGAAGAGTACATCAAATCTCAGCCTGGCCGTGTGTTTGAGATGCCTGATGGCTACAACCAGATGTGGCGCGAGCAGCGATTCAAGGTCGCTGAGGGCATGTGGGACGAAAACGCCGGGTACCCCGTCCCCGAGTCGGAGCGCCTCACCAAGGCCCAGACCATCCCCGAACTTATCCGTTCCGCCCTCAATGCTATTGACGTTGACCTGCGGGGCAACCTCCTCGCCAACGTCGTTGTTACGGGAAGCACAAGTTTGATCAACGGCTTCAACGACCGTCTAAATAACGAGCTGACAGCGATGTACCCTGGGCTGAAGATCAAGATTCACGCTGCAGGTCTGTCGAGCGAGCGCAGATTCGGTGCCTGGATTGGTGGAAGCATTCTTGCTAGCTTGGGAACTTTCCACCAAATGTGGATATCCAAAAAGGAGTATGAGGAAAACGGAGTTGGCATTGTCGAGAAGCGATGCAAATAGAGGATACAAAACTCCTGATGCTAGGGGATACATTTTTGGTGAAGGATAATGGCGTACGGAGTTGGAAGAAAGATGTTAGTGCTATCTGTCTATGCTTAGGACAATGGGACGTTGCTACTGAGATCTGGCTGGAGATCAGAGGCATGCGTAGATCTAATCGAGAAATTTTATGAACAATGAACACAAAGGGAGTGACTACCTAAGCTAACCTGCAAAGCTAACCTTGACTTCCACTTCGTCCAATCGTCCAGGTTCCAGCTCCATATGCTTCCACGCCCTTTCTATGTTGATTTCGAGTACATGCTGATCGCTTTGTGATACGCCCACGGTTTCTATCGGGACGGCTTGGTCTTGAAGAGTGACTATGAAATCTTCCTGGAGTGTCATCTTTGGTAAAGTAGAGATAAAAACGCCTGAGAAATTTTGTAGTTAGTAAATAACTTCCAGCTCGGACAATCAATCCTCATCTACTCACCAAACACTCCTAGGGCCTTCAACTTGACAGCAACAGACACTCTTCTGTTCTCTTTCATGCTGATGCTGCTGGCCAAAATAGCCACGCTACCAGTCATCTTGTTGATCAACCCAAGGTTCGCCACCCATATGTCTCCATACTTGGGGCCAGTGAGAGGCACAGCCTGGAAAGCTGTGAAAATCTCGTATCCACGGACGTCCAAAGAGCCAACAATGAGCGAAGTCGGATCATCAAGCTTCATCGGCGCCGAAGCTTTCCCTGTGGCGTGGGCTCGGACAATGTAATGTAAGGATGGCACGGTGCCTGGAAAGCAAGAAAGGGGAATTAATTCTGTTAGTGGGCGTGCTGAGATGTTGAATATGGCTACCATGGGCGTGCCCGTTTCAGATGCTCCTACAACGAAATTAACAAGAGCGGTTACGCCAAACACATACCGTCCATATTCTTTCACTTACCATGGTAGCTACCAACTTTAAGAAGCAGGTCATCGTCATAGCCTATGTATGGATATATGGCCTTCCCCAAGACGCTCGGCCTAAATATGACAGTCTTGCCCTTGGGAGTCAGACCCGTCATTTGGCTTATCAAATCGAGGTTGTGCTCCCCAGGAACGTCGGTGATGTAAATCGGTCCACCACTGACGCATCGAGCTGCAGCATGAAACCCAGAATAATCATGTACCGTCTGAAACATATCCCAATCAGGAAGTACATTCAAATACTCCATAAAGATGCTATTGTATGCGTTTGTCCATACATGCCAGGGGTGCGACGAGGGAATCTGAGGGAAGAAGTCGTCCGAGTTGCGAACTAGCAAAGCGGGTCGATTTGGTATCATTTGAGAATTAAACAGCGCCTGCGGGATCTGCGACATGCATGATATGGCCTTGACGCTGAAATAGCGAAGAGATGTGAGATTCCACGCATCGAGATACGTATTGATGAGCTCCCGTCTGACAGAAGCACTGAGCCACATGTCGATCATGAATTGCGCATCAGTCTTGACTCCATCAACGCCAGCATCTGAGAGGAATTGATAAAAGTCGTCATAGAACTGACGAACATCATCCTTGGCAATCACTGTCATTTTACCTCCGAGAGGCAGATTGCGGCGTTTAGCCTCCTCACGAACGACTTCCACGGTTTTGTACTTCTTGGCTAGCTTTCCATCGGGGGAAATGCCGCCCCAGTATCCCAAAAGAGCGTGCCAGACCGCAATATGTTGGATATTTGGACTTTTCTGGCGGATTTTGGTAATAGCTGCCTTTAATCCGTTTGGAAAAGCTTCTGGCTCGGCCTCGAAGTCAACCCATCCGTATTGAAACTGGCTGGGGCCTTTATAGTCAATTGACTGCCAATTATCGTCAATAATCAGAGACGTGATGTTGATATTGTGCTTCTCGAGCTTATCAATTGCATCAACGATCTTCTGTTCAGTTAACCTTTGACCGAGTGCGTTCCATGTACCTACAAAGTGATCAGTCAGTAATACTTTGAATGAGGAAATCTTTGGATGAACGAACAGAATCCGAGTCCATCATACCAGTTTTCGAGCCACTCTGGCCGAACTGCATCAGAAAGAGTTTTCCACTCTTCTTCCACCGCTTCGTTCGCACTACGAGCTTTCATAACAAGAGTTCTTGCGTGGTACATGACGGCGGCAACGGCTCTTTGGAAATCATTTCCTTCGGAGACGAGGATAATTACCTTCTCATCGGATGCTGAGTCGTTGCGTACATTTACCGATATGGCGCCGCTGGATGTGTTTTGGAAAACGGGTACTGAATTATTGATACCTGAAACGGCCAAAAAGACCATGTTTCTGCCTTCTGGACTTTGGAAAGCTAACAATATTGCGTCTTTGTCGAGCGAAAAGTGGTCTCTGCCGTGACGTGGAGCGAGCCAAGGAGACCAAAGCCGAACGACGGCAAACCATCTGAATCATTCTTTATTAGGATAACAGTGACTTACGATAACTGGATATGGGATGCTCAGCGGAGGAACGAATTTGATACTGACCTTAAGAAAGAGCCCCAAGGTGTTCCAATTTGAATATCAGTGTATGAAGACAAATCGTTCTTTGCGGGGGGCACTACGGCTTCGAGTGACCACAATTGAGTTTTTGGCGCTTGGCTCATACTAGATGAGACTTTCCAGACAGTGTTAAGTCCAGGTATAAGATCGGCCAACTTATCAGATTCTGTAGGTGCCGGGAGTAACACAACGTGGCCGTCCTCCAAACCTTGTTCGTCGCGGATCCATCTCCAAGGCTCATCATGATTGTGACGAAATTTGATGGTGAATCGTAGGGTTTTTTGAAAAGAAACTCTTGTACTATAGTATACCCTAAAGACAGCTTCTGATTCGGCATGAAGAGCTTGCGGTGCCTGGCTGCTCTTTATCTTGGGCACCTCAGCCTCAGTCCAATCTTCGCCATCAATTGAGTGCCAAAGAGCAACTTCCCAGCTCTCTTGAGCTCGAGATTTCGGTATCTCCAACAAAGCAGTGAATGAGACGCTGTCGGAGCTCTCGACTGGAGTAACCTGGCTCAAGGGAGGGTAGCTTTGGAGTATAGCTTTCATATTTTCGGGCACCGGAGCCGGTTCAGGTTTTTGCTTTGGTATATAGAGGGTTTTAAAATCGTTTGCAAAGTCATACGTTTCAGGTGCCATTGGAATCTTCATTTAAAATCTGACGGTTATTAGCCCGATTGGTGATGTTGAAGCTAAAGCTCGCTCCTGCTTTATGATGCAGATATTCAGCTCAACTGTACCTATGCGGTGTATAAAATGACCGAGGTAAATAAATAGCATAAATAAGAGAAATCATACGTCTCTAATGTTTCATATAACGATTCCTCACCAAATGAAATTGAGAAACAAAGGCTAAGGCTTGGGCTGGACGATGTTATGCTGACGAGGAAGCACTCACAGCGAAGACGAATTCCCCGCAAGTAATGGCCAGGACGCTGAAGAGGGGCCAGGAGGGGATAACAATGCACGAGAGTAGTCACGTTCGCTCTTTCAACAAGGAAACGAAATCGTCTTCAATTAGGTAGCTTTTTGTAAAATTCTCTACCATGGTATGTGAATACCTATGTTTTAGTCGCATACGGCATATATCATGCCATTAGGTACCAACACATCAACTGTACTCCATCTGAAACCAGGCGTGTATGGGGCCAATCAACTGTGAATTCTATAACACAGCATGGGTTATTGAGCCTTCTATTGCTTCCTTTTCATGGAGTCATTGCAAGTCAATGATTCTTTGCAATATTTCCTCATTGAATGCCTTTGCAACTTGCGCAAAGAGCTGCTCCCCAGTCCGAATCCAGAGCCTATACCATACCCCAGCACGAGCTGTGGAGATTGCTCGGATGATGAACTTAGTAAATCTGCGCATATAATTGGACGACCCGGTCGTTGTCGTCGGGCGTCGGAGCTGGTCGGAATGACTAAGCAGCCAAAACCTCGAAACTAAGGCCACAACCCGCTCAGCAAAGCTTCTTGCCGAGCAGTGGAAAGATTTCATCAAACCGCTCAATTGACCATTAATCCCCCAAACCTCCGCCATGGCGTCCCGCAGATTAGCTTTGAACTTGTCGCAAGGCCTGCGAGCCCGTTCCGGCCTGGCAACCGCCGGTGCCCTGCGACGAGGCTTTGCTACTCCCTCCAACGTCGGCAAGACTCAGACAACAACCCTCAAGAACGGCTTGACTGTGAGCGCCAACTCCGGGGGCCAATTGGCCCAGCCTCGTGCCTCGAACGCCTGTTTTGCTAACCGACAAACACCAGGTCGCCACTGAGTACTCACCATGGGCCCAGACATCGACCGTTGGCGTCTGGATTGACGCTGGCTCCCGTGCCGAGACCAACGAGACGAACGGCACTGCCCACTTCCTCGAGCACCTGGCTTTCAAGGTGGGATGTCCCGATATGGCATCATACGGGCAAAGACGGCTGACAGTTGTTTCAAGGGTACCGCAAAGCGATCGCAGCAGCAATTGGAGCTCGAGATTGAGAACATGGGTGGCCACCTGAACGCCTACACTTCGGTTGGTCTTTTTTTCAACCCATTCCGTCGCAATGGGCTCATCCGGGAAAAAAAAATCTTCGAAGCCGCTAATACCTTCTTCAGCGTGAGAACACCGTCTACTTCGCCAAGGCTTTCAACTCCGATGTCCCCAAGACCGTCGATATTCTGTCCGATATCCTGCAAAACTCCAAGCTCGAGCCGTCTGCCATCGAGCGCGAGCGCGACGTCATTCTCCGAGAGTCCGAGGAGGTTGAGAAGCAGGTTGAGGAGGTTGTCTTTGACCACCTGCACGCCACTGCTTTCCAGCACCAGCCTCTTGGCCGCACCATTCTCGGACCCCGCCAGAACATCCGTGATATTACCCGCACCGAGCTCACCAACTACATCAAGAACAACTACACTGCCGACCGCATGATTCTCGCTGCCGCCGGTGGCGTTCCCCACGAGCAACTGGTTGAGCTTGCCGAGAAGCACTTCTCCGGCCTTTCCACCGGCAGCCCCCAGACTGAGGCCTACGTCCTGTCCAAGCAGAAGGCTGACTTTGTTGGTTCTGACGTCCGTGTTCGCGATGACACCATGCCCACTGCCAACGTCGCCATTGCCGTCGAGGGTGTTAGCTGGGACTCCGATGACTACTTCACTGCTCTCGTCACTCAGGCCATCGTCGGCAACTACGACAAGGCCATGGGCAACGCCCCTCACCAGGGCAGCAAGCTGAGCGGCTATGTTCACAAGCACGAGCTGGCCAACAGCTTCATGAGCTTCTCCACCAGCTACAGCGACACTGGGTATGTTAAAAACAATGATTGATTGAGTGTGTTTGAGTATAAACTGACTGTCCATCTATAGTCTCTGGGGTATCTACCTGGTCACTGACAACACCACCCGCCTCGACGACCTTGTTCACTTTGCACTGCGCGAGTGGATTCGCCTGTGCACCAACGTTAGCGAAGCCGAGGTTGAGCGTGCCAAGGCCCAGCTGAAGGCCTCCATCCTGCTGTCCCTGGACGGCACCACTGCCCTCGCCGAGGATATCGGTCGCCAGCTCGTCACCACTGGCCGCCGTGCCAGCCCTGGCGAGATCGAGCGCAAGATTGACGCCATCACCGACAAGGACGTTATGGACTTTGCTAACCGATACATCTGGGACAAGGACATTGCCATCAGCGCAGTTGGAAAGATTGAGGGTTTGTTCGATTACCAGCGTCTGAGGAACACCCTGAAGCCCAAGTTTTAAGAGTAGAAAGGATACGGAGAGAAAGGGGGCGGAACAGTCCAGAAAAAAAAAAGACCGGGTATAGAGTGTATGAGATACCGTTTTACAGGCCTAGTGTACCATAAATTTCCCATATTCCTACAACCAGGTGTTGCGTGGGCGGAAGTGCATGTGATAAAAAAATAATTCTCTATTACACTTTTTTGGATTAGCGAGGCAGCATCTCAAACTCCCTAAATGTTAATAAGACGATCCCTTCACTGGCGATGCATGTTTCACGACGATCACAGCAAAATCATGTGGTGCTATGTTCATGTCGTGTATCATACATTTTGAAAGCCAGGTAGCTTCTATCCGATTAAAGTACCTGAGGTATAGATATAATTAGAGAGATCTATATATCTCTCCGCACCCCTTATAACCGTCTTTTCCAACGCCCAAAACGCCAACATAAAATATCTTTGGAACATTCAAAGTCCAGCTTCGCGCAATCAAAGGTAGCATGAATCCGGAGGAGGATATGGCGCTTAGCTCTCCTCGGCCATCTCTGCATCCACATCGTCGCCAAAGACATCGTCCACCGTCCCGCCCTCGACACCGTCGCCACCAATATCTTCAGGTTCCGGTCCTTCAATGCCTTCCATGGCATCTCCGCCTTGCTGAGAAGCTGAGCTCTCTTCTTCGTCGTCGTCGTCTTCGTCATCTGCACCCTCCTCGCCCCATACGTCCTTGAGACCCCAACCTGTCCCGCTAAGAACGAATCTCTCGCTTGGTAGCCGGACGCCCCATTCGTTTGGCACAATCTTCGGTAAGGCCACCTTGTTTCGCTCCCGGGCCAGCTCCTGCATATATTCCTTGCTAATGCCGCCTCCGCTGCTTCCTCCCCTGAATTGGTAGCCCAGGCGGGCAGCAATGGCCACTTTCACAGCATTGGCGCTGACGCTGGCATCGCCAGATGGGGCTGCCATGGCACCTCCTGCAGCGCCAGATGGTTTAGAGCCCGCTTGCGTGGTGTACGGGTCGCCTGTGAGATGCAATGCGTCGTTGAGAACGGAGGAGGTATGTCGGTAAGCGAAGTCCAAGAGCAGGAGGGGTACCCGCTGTTCATAGGATGTGACGCCTTGAGAGGTAAGCAGAAGCTCCATGAGTCGTGAGTCGCGCGGTCTAGGCGCCGACGAGGGCTGCTGGTGCGTTGACGGCTGTGCGGATTGAGAAGAAGAAGCGGCGGCGGCGGTGGCGGGAGGTTGGCTCGCAGTCGTTGTCTGGGTATTGGGAACTGTTTGAGATGTGTTGGCGGATGAGGCAGGTACGCCGTTTGTCTGCGGCTGGCTTGAAGACATGGTCGAGGTATATAGTATTAAGTAGTAGAGTAAGATGAAATCAATGGATAGGTTGATTGGAGAGAGCGAGAGACGAGGCTGATTAGAGCAGCTGAGAGCTCATGCGCCGACACAAAGTCGAGTTGCGCGCTCAGGCAGCGAGAAACAGCAAAACAGATACCAAATTAGTATCTGATATATCTCGTCAAGTGAATGGTCAGCACAGTAGCATGATAAACGCAGTGAGAAATCTGAAGATGCAACTATGCTACACGTCAAACAAGGCTTTACACAGGAATAATAAGCTCGGCCAGCAAGTTCAATCACGGTCAGTCGCGGCACGGGCATTAGAGCTACGGCGCATCGTTAATCCGGGTTGTCAATTGCTGCTACGCTGCCGCACCTTAAACGCAGTCCAACCAAAGCGCTTCAAATTCGGCGGCGCATGCAGCAACCTAGAAGGGTTGGAGGGGCACTCATGGAGCAGGCTCGGCGTTCTGGAAAGCGAAGCAAGGCCTAAGAAATGGCCTGTACCGCAGCCTGTGCTCCCAGCGCAAAAGTGGCGACCCCACCAAAAAATTGACTGCCGCTGATTCAGGTGCCGGTTCCGGTCGATTCGAGCTGTTTTTCAGACGATGGGTTGACTCATTGGCGGCATATATATTTTTCTGTTAGTTTGAAGTTTCGCCTGTAGCTGCGATTACCGAATCTGCGTCGCCATCAATTGAGTGATTGATTGTGCTGTTTGGCCTATTGCAATTGCCATCGCCATCGACATTGCCATCGTCACATCGTCATCCAGCCCACTCTATTTCTGCCCCTCATGGAAACGGTGCTTCCCCTGCCGTTCCTCGTCAGCGTGGCCATTCCGCCCGGTCTGGCCAAGCTTGACGGCCTCAACCGCGAGGAGGTTTCCATTCTCGCCAGCCCCTTCCTCGAGGCCTCGCCCAAGATCCTGGACAAGCTCTCGCGATTCTTCAAGCGCCACAGCTCCGAGTTCCACGCCCACATCGACACCACAACCCTCGAATCCGTCGACGATGTCTATGCGCTGCTCGATGGCGGCGCCCGCAAAGTCTTTGTTGCGCCAGAGACGCTCCCCCAGTACGCAGAGCTTGGAGACCGAGTGCTGCCCGTTGTATCAGCGCTGGATCTGTCTGCCGCTTCCGAGCACGGCCTTCTGATCAAGGATTTCGACCCCAAGGCGAGCAATGTCGACAAGTTTGCTGAAGAAGCCCGCGCCAAGAAGCTCAAGGCTCTCTACCTGAAGCCGGTCCCCGACGTCGCCCTCGAGCAGTTCATTGAGGTTGCGCAGAAGTGCAACGCCATTCCCATCTTGCCCTCGACTGGATTGACAACCGACAAGGCGGATAGCAGCAGGCTTCTGCTTTCCAAGGTCATTGCGACATACTGGAAGTCAGACCGCGCCGATGGCCTCATCCCGACGGTTGTTACTGATATTTACGGAATTGCCCTGGGACTGGCTTATACTAGCGAGGAGAGCATCCTGGAAGCTCTGCGAACTCACACTGGTGTCTACCAGAGCCGCAAGCGCGGACTGTGGGTGAAGGGAGCCACTTCTGGAGACACCCAGGAGCTCGTCCGCATCGCACTGGACTGCGACAATGACACTCTCAAGTTTGTGGTGAACCAGAAGGGCCGATTCTGCCATCTCGAGCAGTTTGGCTGCTTCGGCGAGCTGACTGGCATCGCAAGACTGGAGCAAACTCTCAAGTCAAGAAAAGAGTCTGCTCCTCCAGGCTCATACACTGCCAGACTATTCTCTGACGAGAAGCTGCTGAGAGCCAAGATCATGGAAGAGGCTGAAGAGCTGTGCGATGCCAAGACTCCCGAGGAGGTTGCATTTGAGGCCGCTGACTTGATCTACTTTGCCCTCACAAGAGCTGTTGCTGCTGGTGTGAGCGTAGCTGACATTGCTGGCAGCTTGGACGCCAAGGGCCTGAAGGTCAAGAGAAGAACGGGCGACGCCAAGGGCAAATGGGCTGAGAAGGAGGGCATCAAGCCATCTGCTCCCGCTGCTCCAGCCAAGCCAACTGAGGCTGAGAAGCCCAAGAGCGACCGCATACTCATGCAGAGAATTGACTCGGTCAATGCTTCTGAGGCAGAGCTTCTCGAGACCTTGAAGCGACCCTCACAGAAGTCCCCTGAAGCCATCCTGAAGATTGTCACTCCCATTATCGAAGATGTTCGCAAGAACGGAGACAAGGCCGTCCTTTCATACACTCACAAGTTTGAGAAGGCTACTTCTCTAACATCTCCCGTCCTAAAGGCCCCTTTCCCCAAGGAGTTGATGCAGCTCCCTGCCGAGACCATCAAGGCCATTGACACCTCCTTTGAAAACATCCGAAAGTTCCACGCTGCTCAGGGCGATGACAAGACTCTCCAGGTCGAGACCATGCCTGGCGTCATCTGCAGCCGCTTTTCAAGACCGATTGAGAGAGTTGGTCTCTACGTACCTGGAGGTACCGCCGTTCTGCCCAGCACTGCTCTCATGCTCGGTGTCCCTGCCATGGTTGCCGGCTGCAAGAAGATCGTCCTGGCTTCGCCACCCCGCGCCGACGGCAGCGTCACCCCTGAGATCGTCTACGCCGCTCACAAAGTCGGAGCCGAAAGCATCGTCCTCGCTGGTGGAGCGCAGGCTGTTGCCGCCATGGCCTACGGCACTGAGAGCATCACCAAGGTTGACAAGATCCTCGGTCCCGGCAACCAGTTTGTTACTGCGGCCAAGATGCACGTCAGCAACGACACCAATGCGGGCGTGAGCATCGATATGCCCGCTGGCCCATCCGAAGTCCTGGTCATCGCCGATAAGGATTCCAACCCCGCGTTCGTGGCATCAGATCTACTTTCCCAGGCCGAGCACGGCGTTGACAGTCAGGTCATCCTGATTGCTGTCGATCTCAACGAAGAGCAACTCAAGGCTATTGAGGATGAAGTCCACAACCAGGCCATTGCCCTGCCCAGAGTGGATATTGTCCGTGGCTCCATTGCCCACTCCGTCTCTGTGCTCGTCAAGGACATTGATGAGGCCATGCGCATCAGCAACGAGTATGCTCCGGAGCATCTTATCTTGCAGATCAAGGATGCCGCCAAGGCTGTCGATCTCGTCATGAACGCAGGTAGTGTCTTCATCGGCGAATGGACACCCGAGAGTGTTGGTGATTACTCTGCCGGTGTGAACCACTCATTACGTAAGTATCTCTTTTCAACATTGATTCTTATTTGCATACAGCATTGTGCTAACCAGCTACATACAGCAACATACGGATTCGCCAAGCAGTACTCTGGCGTCAACCTGGGATCCTTCCAGAAGCACATCACCAGCTCTAACCTCACTGCTGAAGGTCTGCGGAATGTAGGCTCAGCAGTCATGCAGCTGGCCAAGGTTGAGGAGCTTGAGGCTCACAGGAGAGCGGTAGAGATTCGCATCAAGCACATGGATGCGCAAAAATAGGGCGAATAAGAAAAAAAAAAAAAAACTTGGGGAAAGAATGGGCTTTCTGTGTAAAATTAATTGGCTAAGAAAATCATGGAGCGACAAAACGTCTGGAGAATAAGTAGACGAGGAGAAAACACTATTTTGGATAACCTTTTTATTTATACATGTTTATATATATATCTATTGAGGATATGGTGAGATCGCTTGATGCGGAAAACTTCTAAACTTTCAAAACAGACCGAAACGTATGAGAACTCCCAATGACCAAACAAGAGAGAAAAGAAAATAAAGGGAAAAAAAAAAAAAAAAAAGTTTTGCTTACACCATCAGTAATAGAACGTTGCTGCAAAATAATTTTTTCTGCTCGCCCTTCGCACGCGTATACAATTCCTTCAGAAGAAGTAAAGAATCCCAAAAGCGCCTCGCTATGTAGTTCCTCCAATGTGAAGTATATTAAATGAAAAACTCCCACCTCGCTTCGAAAAGCTTCCTTGCTCCAACCGCAAAATGCTGCAAATGCATCGCTTTGCAATTTTACCTCCTCTCTTGAGAGAGAGGCAGAACTCCGTCCGGCGTAAGATGTGATCCGAGGACGCAAATGTATATGGTGAATAGATATGAGAAGCGAGTTCAAACGCGCGGGCGTTGAAAAAAAAGAAGGCAGATAAAAGAAGTAGAGTGAATGAGCAAAGGCTCATAGATCATTGGGGAAAAGCGCCATCATTCCAGTGGCATCGAGGGGGTGCGGATCTCGACAGGTACTTCGATAACCGGCAGGTCTTGTTCCTCCTGCTCGACGTCTCTGCGATCAAACTAAACCTGAACTTAGCTTTTTGTCCTGTTATTCTTCTTTTAATTCTCAACCTCCTCTTTCACGGATAGGTGACCAACCCCAGAAATGATTTCGGCTGAGACATCTTCCACTACCCGGGTTCTGTCCTCGTCATCATCAGACGCCTCGGCGTCTTCATCCTCGGCGTCGTCCTCGTAGTTTTCCTCGTCATCAGCATCTTCAGTCTCGATGCTCTGCAAAACAGAGTCCATCATGCGGACCTCATCGACTTCATTATCATCATACTCATCGTGCGAGAGGTAGCTATCCGCAAGCCCTTCGCCCACCTCCTCGTCGTCTTCTTCTTCTTCCCCCTCCTCGTCAGTATAAGTGCTGCCCTGGTCATCCTCTCCCTCCTCATCTTCGTCACTCTCACTTGCCGAGAAGTCATCCATCTGGAGAGGGTCGTCTCGCCAGTACATGAAGTCGGTGTAGTCTTCCCCGCCACCCCTGACCAGGGTATCAACAGGGGGGAAGTAGTGGTCCACAACCTCATTAATATTGACATAGGTCATCTTGAGTTTATTAAGACTCAGGAGGTCAAGAGATACTTCCGAGTTGGAGTTGATGGTGAAGATGCGGGTTCTTGGCACATCCACCGTTCGGTAGGAAATTTGGTCGGTTAGACGGTTGCCAAAACCGGCATAGAAAGGAGTACCGTCTGGCCCATACAGATTTCGGATGTCCCGTAGAGTTGCCATCTTGAACACGTGAGGCTTTCGCAAATACACCTCACGGCGCAGAGCTGCCATTGTGCGATCAGGAGACAAAATTGTTGGGCCGTGGGGCATTTTGAAGCCTTCCTGAACGATATTGTTCAAATAAGTGCGGGTGGAGTCGGACTGCCCGACGGAGCGGCTGGTCAGATACATGATGTTGTATCCGTTTAGGGCAATGTCGCTATAGAGCTTTGCAATACCAGAGTGAGTCCAGTCTCGGCCAATCATGTTCAGCACATGGCCAAGAGCATCAGACTTGGTGATGGTGCCGTCAATGTCCGAAATGACGACGGGCGTCTCTTGCTTCCAGAGATACAGGTTGGCAGAGCATGTGGCCCGGTTGACTGTGAAGCTCATTGAATTTTCACCGTATTTCAGGTTCATATCCTTCAATTGATCGCTAGTCAGTCGAAGAGTCTTGGCGTAGCTCTTGGCAGGCTGCAGAGAGCCGGTTGGGGTTCGAGGAGGAGTGTGCATCCCGCCAGGGCCGGCATCAGACTCTGAGCGGCGGTGGGACGGTACATGTGGCGCAGAGGTGAGGTCGCTGCCATCGCTCTGGTAGCCTGGATCCGACACGGCGTCGGCGGCAACGACGTGACGGTGAGCTTGTAGCGACGACTCAATGGTTTTGTTCATAGCAGCCAGCTTGGCGTCTTCGCTACTGTAGACCCAAAGGTTTCCTTCTTCGTCAAAGCCAAACAGAGCCCCAATGTCGTAATTGCCGTCCATCTCCTCTGAAAGAATGTTGCGTGCGAGCACTTCGGCACGGAGCATGTCTTCTTCGCTGCTCTTGAAGCCTGTCATGTCTAGCATGAGATCTCCTGTCTCAGTGATGTGGGTTGGAATGTTGACGGCGGACAATCCCTTGGAGAGTGCCCTGGCGCGTGCGATGGCTTCGTTTGGGCCAAGCATCGGCGGGCTATGTGATCTCTCCGACTCCGATGGGCTCTCGTTGTCTGAAATGGCGTCGTCATGGGGCAGAGCTGCTTTTCGCAGAATGGTATCGCTGTGAGGTCGATCGAAAGCTCCGTGCCAGTCGGCAGAGCCAGGGTGTGAACTCGAAAGCGGAGGGGAGGACGATAAAGGCGTAATCATGCCTGGGATCATAGTCAGCCATGGATGCTTTGCTACCAGCATACAGTATCAGGTAAACACAAACAAGCCAGACGTACCATTTTCATCTGACTGCAGTTGAATAACGGCGGGGGACGGTCTACGTGGCTTTCCTGATTCCCCATCGAGCTCTAGGTGATCTGGCTCTGCCATGTCTGAAGAGCTGTCTGCCGGTCCAAAAGGCGGGCTGCTTGCCGGAGAAACCAGCGGCGATGTCTGCATCGATTCCGGGATAGAGTCAGAAGTCTCGAAAACGAAGAAGGCCTCGCCGCCCTCACCCAGCTTCATGGAATAGTGCTGCTTGGTGCCATTGATCCTGAACTCGACCTTCTTCTCGTATGGGCGCAATAGCGAAAACTTGCCGAAGCGGACGTGGAAGGGCGAGCAGGCCAAGGTACCATCGTCGCGCTCGACGACGATAACGTCAATGGCGCCGCTAAGAGTCGCTGGATTGATCGAGTTCCAGGCCGTGGAAACCGAGTCGCTGAGGTTTCGCACGTACTGCATCGTGCCGGATCCAATATTTCGCCGCGACCTCGAGAAGGAGAGTTTTTCGGCGGGCTTACACAATGAGCAACGGGTAACAGCAATCAATGGCAAATGACAATGAAGCAAGAAAAAAGGCACGTTTGTACGACAGCCGCGCGCAGCAGTCAGGATGATTCGTAGGAGACGCTCAGACTAATTGGGCCTGGCAAGGTCTGTCGGGTTTGGGCACTTGAAGTACTTTGGGAGAATGGCAAACGGAGAGCAAACGGAGAGGAATTGGGGACCCTGGCAGCAGTGGAGCTTTGTTGGGGTGACGTCGGTTTTCTCCCTGGCATGTGAAATTATGGAACGCCTCGCTTCTCCGCGTAGCAGCGACGACGCGCAAAGGGAGGAGCTGCGAAGCTATTTTGTGTTTTTGTGTTTCACAGGTCAAGGCAGAGCAGAGGGGATCGCGAGATTGAGGAAAAATCCCATATAAAAGCCTCCCCAGCGGTTTTGGAGGCGAAATGCAGCGGCGGCACCGGCCGGCCACCAAAGGCCAATTGTTGAGAACGTGCTGCCTCCAACAAGCTGCACTTCGGCTGCAGGCACATGATCCAAGGCTTGGGCGAACATCCGTCCTGACAAGCGCTGTGGGGGGCATGGCCGGCAACGCGCAGGTACAGGCTACCTGAGCTGTACTCGCAGTCCCGCAGTGGCAGCACGTTCCTCTGGGGCCTTACGGTGGCTCTTTGGGCACCGTTTGGGCGCTGTTCAGGGGGTTCTACCGCACTTGGCAGGCCGCTGACAGGGAGGCCCATCCACCAAGATACAGCGGGGAAGCGAGATTTGTAGGGCCGTGTTGAAAGGGCGGAGCCTCAAGCGGCGAATCCGGGGTACTCTCGAGTCGCTGGTACCTGGCGCTGCCGAAACCACGCGCCCATCATGTGCTCAACCATTTGCACGGGACATTCAGGCCAGAAAATCAAAAGAGCAGCGTAATAGCTGCGGGCTGCACCAAGTACCCCAACAAGCCGAGGCTGCAGGACTTCCTCTTGAAGGTTGGCGTTTGCCTCTTCGATGACCAGCGTCTGACGCTCAGACGACAGGCTTTCAGCGGCTATTTGCTGGTGCAGGCATGCTTCATAGGCTCACTGAAGCGTCCCCCGTCTCACGAACAGGCTCACCTGACAGACCACACATGCCTGAGATGAGTCGTAGGGGCCAGGGTTTGATCCTCTGCCAGCATTTCTTCCGCCACTCTGTTAGTTTTCTCTCGAATCACAGGCCATAGGGCTCATCGTGCGCTCCTCGAACGAGCAAACCCGATTATAGCCAGCTTACGTCTACTGCGTTGTAAATGAAATCTGGAGTGCTGATTCAAGTACTATGTACGTAATCTCACAATAAGGCAAGGGGCGTATGATTGCTGCTACTCTGCATGTGTGAGACATCGTCGCCGCATGAAGCATTTGGGCTGTTTCGATGCAGATACCGATACGGGCAGATCCTGTTTCAGTTCCGGTAAGAAAAGTGTGAGGGAATTAGGGCCGACGATGAACCATCCGATAATAGTGATGTCAGCTACAATGAAGATCGTCTCTCTCCCCCACGTATGGATCTAAGTAGAGATCGCAAGTCAATATATCTCGACGTTTTGACAGGATGGGACTAGACGGTAGAGGCAGCGGCGGAAAAAGCGCTTGTTGGCAATTTATTGAAATAAATGGAATCACGGCTCGGCAGGACGGTGACATTTGGTGCAAGCCCCAGATTTTCCGCCGCCGACTCATTGTTCTAGTATTGGTATCTCTGAAGCCTTTCGTGAGAATACAAAAGCAGACATCCCTCGATGTGACCAGATTTGCAAGCAACAGCTCTGAAGAGAAGCGGCAAGCATGCAATTATTTTCACAGGCTTTTGGTGTGTTTACTTGGAAGGTCTGAATACCATTTCAGCTTCCTGGTCCCGCAGCCGACACTCCCAACTGTATCATCAAACACCTGGATTTTCTCACAGCATCAGTGTTCTGGTCTCATACCTATACGAATAGCAAATAGGTAGCAAGGCAGTAGATAGTACCATTCACCTTATAAACCAAGCATTAGGACATGCATCAAATTGTGGCATTTTAGGCGTCACAAGCTGGAGCCCACCAACAGCTTAGCATCCTACACCTGCTATGCCAGAACAAACTTTCAGCGGCCACCAACCCCGGGGCTCCATAATAACCGTCAGCCCGTCACTATATTAATGTACCTATATTTGTTCAGCTACCAGCTAGCAAGCCAATGTAGGGCATTCGAATTGCCTACGCATGTATGTGGCTTGCTATCTGTCATATTCCATCTCCATTTCGTGAACAAATAGGCAAATGGTAAAGATCCCCGCCGCGACCGCTCTTTTGCGCCTGTGCCCGCCCAATAGGCGGCTGCTGGGCAAATAAAATGGTAGCACGGTATGCATGATGCATCATAGCCCCTCCTATGAGTTCAGAGTTGAGAATAAAATGACACAGGGCCCCAAGCTCTCAGTAGATGGAGATATATGTTGCCGGCCAATTTATAACAGCGCTGCCTGGAGCCATTACGTGTTTCTACCAAGCATAAGCACCAAGGCAGCAGTATCTCAATCTATCCGATTTTACTACGACACTTTCGTGGGATATAACAAACACTTAGACCACATCTACTGCCTCGATGATTGCCTAATACGGGAACCCTCTAAAAGAACATACCGCATCCAATCTCATTCTCTCCCTTCACTCGCCGCCAAGCCGCCAAGCTCACCGATTAACTCGTCGTGAAGCAGCCTTATCTGTTACTTACTTTGGCCTCCCGCAACGTGCCCTAGCAAGGATCGTCACATCGATCCACATTTTGCATCCTGAGGGCCGCAAAAATACGCTTTTCCGGTGCAAGTCTGCTGCAACAAGTTATTACCGAAACGATAAGGCTTTATGCATGTTGTTCGCTTTTTTTCCTTCTGGTTGTTTTCCCAAAGCTATATCCACTAACTTAGATCCCCTTACCTTAGATCCTTTTTTTCCCACGAGGGCAAAACTCAAAGTTGGTGGCGGCACAGCCCTTTACATCATCTTCTCACCCCATTCTATACAGCTACCGCTATAGCTCTCACGCCGCATCCCTATCATTCCATTCATTTTGCCTTCTATATCCTGAGAGGGCTGCAAGTCGCCGGGCGGTCAGCAGCACAGTGCATTCCTTCAGCTGTTCTCTCTGCCGCCTGTTTGCCGAAGCTCAGCTGTTTTGCCGCTTTACCCACGCGAGGCCGTGCTAGCTCTCGCCATCTTGCACGGCGTCTCGCCTCCAACGTGCCCGGCGGAAAAAAAAAGTCCAGCCGTCCAATCGGCGGCCAGCATTGACTGGGGTCGCTTCCAAGACCAGCCAGCCCTGCTACGGTCCTTTCTCCCGTCTGCAAACCTCCAACTACCGACATCCTCCGTCGGCATTTCTGCTCCAGCATCTGACGGCAGTGCGCTGAGAATATGTCATGGGAGCTTTCGGCCCTGACGCTTCTCTCCCTCAGCGCTGTTGGCTTCTGGGGGCTCGGTAGTCCCCAGCCCTTCCATCGCAAAGCCTTCTACATCCTCGTCAGCGCCTCGGCTGTTCTGGTCGACCCTCGCCAGGCGATTGCGCGCATGTACACCGGCGCCCACGAGGCCTTTCTCGATTACCAGCTCGATGCTCTGCTTGCTCAACACTTCAAGATGGCCCTTACTTTTGGCGCCGTGCTCTGGTTAGCTCTCCTCCTTTTCCAATGATGTTGTCTGAAATTCAAGTCACGTTTTATTCCACAGCTTCTGCTATGGGTTGCGGGATCCAAGTTTGACATACTAACTGGATGGCTTTCTTCTTCTTTGCATATAGGCTGCTCCATCGCGGATGGCAAACTCTCTGGAAACCGGTTCCCGAACTTATCAATATTCTTGGTGTCGATATACCTGAACCTCCTGATGTCAGCCTTGCTGGCATTCGATCCGACGCGGCTACTCTCAGTTGGACTCGCCCAACTAGCAATCGGCCCGTGCAGAAATATGCGATTCAGGTCAATGGAGTACACGGTATGTTTTTTTTGGCAGGCGTGGCGGGCTGTGGAGTGATACCAGATGATCTGACTGCTTATACTTGGACAACAGTGGGCGATTCGCCAGGGAACGAGGTGGCTATTACGGTGACCGGGCTGAAGCCCAACCACTATTACAATGTTCGTGTTGTTGCTGTTGGACCTAATAACTTTCAAGCCGGTAGTGCTCTTCTACGACTGCGCACCTTTGGCAAAGATGGGAGGCCGCTATTGGGAAATTCACGACTCCCTACCAACTTTACGGATCCCGAACAACCCCGACTCAACCCTGGCGAGGATGAAAGCGACGACTCTGACGATGCTTTGTTTCCTATGCCAACTGTGGAAGCTGCACCGGTCCTTAACGATAGCTCGGCAAATTCCCGCGAGCCCAATGGGACTGTACCTGGGCAAAGGCGAAATACAATCAATCGTCGCCACTCACCCTCCGTAGCGAGCTTAGATCAGCCCCATATTAAACTTCCGATTTTCGATGGCCCTGAAATGTCCTTGGACGAACTGAATTGCAAATTCGAAGGGATTCGGAAAGAGATTGATGACACCCTGGCTCTTTATGCCAAGGACGAGGCGGATTCACAACAGCAAGAAGAGGAGCTGAGGGGGGAGAAAGAACGAAAGCGGCAAATGTTGAAGGAAAAAGAAGAGCAAACGGCCCAGCTCAAGGCCATGGTGAGAACTACCATGGAGCAGATGAGAGGAGCGGAAAAGGATCGGGCAAAAAAGGAGCAGCAACTGCGAGATAAGGAAACTAAGAAGTCCAAGGTGCGGGATAATGTCTCAAAACTTGACACTGAAACACTGCGCATGAAGCGAGATCGCGAAACCTTTGAGGCACAAAAGACAGCCTTGGCAGAGAAAAGGGATTTAGATGCGCGAAAACTGGACGAGATAAATGTGGAGCTTCTGGATAAGTGCGCTGAACTGGAAGCGGAATTAAAGGACAAAGGAAAGCAGCTACAAGATCTCAAGGCAGCTCGAGAGGAGCTACCTGATGCCCCTGACGAGCAGTGGAAAGAGGAAGATTTCAGACTAAGGAGGGACTGGGATGTCAGGAGGAAAGACCTGCATGCGCGATGGGCTGCAGAATCCAAGGGGACGTATGAGCTGGACCAACAGATTCATATGCTGTCCAAGCAGTTAAGGATGGAACAGTCCAATCTGGAATTTCTCAACCAGGGAGTTGCTTCAACCGTGGACTTTGAGATGTCTCCGCCGCCTCGGCCTAGGCGTCTGAGCAACGCAAACATGTCATCGCCAAGTCCAGTTATGCCCTCTGAGCCTGGATACCCCCCTCCTGCCGGCTTTTCAAACGCTGGATTCGGGCCAGCTCTTTTCATGGACATGACAGCGACTCACGGCCAAGGTGACCCCCAGACAGAAGCCGAGCTTAGGGAGGCAAATGGCCCTCTGAGCCCATCGGCGGCCCGCTCGTTTCTTCCCTCCAACATATTTGATGAGATGGAGGAACCCGATCTCAAGCACGGAGATACTTTCCTGCCCGAGTCCATCTCCCAGGGAGAGGATGAAGATGTACAGTCACCAGCTTCCGCTAGTCCGCCCTTTAATTTATTTGCGAGCCCCCATGGATCGTCGCAAAATCTGCCATTTCCGCAATACACGGAAAATGATGACAGGCAACCATCTTTGACTTCGCCGGGCATCATTCATTCAGCTACCTCTCCCCCGGCCACGGGACATAGATTGTCCAATTTTTTGGCTGTCTTGCGTAACAGGGGTCCCAAGCCTGCGGACGACATGGGCCCTGCGCTTGGCTCCCTAAAGCCAGGTCAGAGCCAATCGTTCCCTCGGGGAACTGATGAGCAGGAGGTGTTGGAAAACCGCCGCAAAATCAACTTTTCTTCCTGGATGAATCGCAACTCGACTGGGCCAGACAACTTTACCGGAACACCCTTCGCGTCAAGCCGACCTTTCTCGGTGCGTCGCCTCATTCCATTCGGTAACAACTCAAGTGGGGTTTTCGGCGAAGGAGACGTCGACGGCTCCAGACCAGCATCCATTGCCTCCATCGACTTGCCGAGGCCATCAACTGACAGTGGTTCTATATGGGGTGTTCAGGGAGAGCAGGGAGGGCTACTTGGCACAAAAAATCGACTGTGGTCTCCGGACAATCGATGGCCCTCCAGAAGCGGCTCCAGGCGTCCGTCCATCCACGGATCGCCATCTATCTTGACGACCACCCTAGCCTCCGCCGAAGATGTCATTTTGGACGAAGATGATCTACTTGACCCCCAGACCTCGCCTAGCCAGATTGGAGTTATTGGCTCTCGCCCGCCGACGGCACTAAAGTCTCTCAACCAACGTCTGAATCCTGCAGCGCCAACTTTCTTTGGATACCACCCCTCAGAATCTGATGCAGATGGATTTCAAAGTAGAGACGGAAGTAAGAATAAGGCAAAGGGAAACAGGTCGAAGGGCAAGGAACCTGCGGCACCAGGCATGGAGTTTTCTCATTTCTTGGACGATTCCCCCTCTGATACACGCAAGTCTCGAGACGCTCGCTCCATCCATACGCAGAATTCAGTTACTGAATCTCACGAATCGCTAGCGCTTGACGCAACCTTATCCAACACGCCATCCGACCTCCAATCCAACGCTGAATCGGCCCCAAAAGATGCAGATAATGTCGTCATGAAGCTGTTCCGTAAGGGCAGCTCCAGCAAGTTTGGCCTGTCAAATAGACTTGGCAAGGACTCTGGACTGTTTAAAAAGGGGCCCGGCAGCGCTACTCATTCGGATAGAAATGCGTCCGTTGACCATCGCTCTAGTATCGGCGATATTGACGATCTAGGCGAAGATGCTTCTCAGCTCGGTCGTAGTTATGACAGCGTGGGGAGCAGTCCTTCTCTAGGCCCTGCCAAATCTAGGGATTCTAAGGAGAGTCGCATTAGCGGATGGCGTTTTATGAAAAAGAAGGGCAAAGATTCTGCTTCCAAGGAAAAAGAAGGCGCTGAAGCCGATCGGAATCACGAGGAAGAATAAATTGGTGTGCGTCAAGCATGAGATAAAGAATTAGCTATTAGGAACAATAGCCAACAATACACTGTATATAATAGCAATGGGCAATTCGGACATTGTGATGCGATTCAAGCTTCTTCGAATCAGATCATAAAATCACCCCCGCCACAAATAATATGATGAGAGACATATCTCAGAAATTAAACGCATTATCGATGAAGAATTACTTGTAGAACATGGCCGACGTAAGTTTATAAAGCTATGTGAATGTAGAGGCGCAGGGCTGCCATCGAAGACCCGTTTTAAACTTAGAATAAATAAGATTGGGCTAATCCGCACTTGGTAAGGCTGCGTACCGATCAGGAGCTACTCCATGTCGATAAGAGACACTGCCTTGTTCCAGGTTGACACCGGCTTAAGCATCCGCAGCGAAACTCAACATAATCACTGCTCCATGCCGCTGATGGAATTGTCATTTCTTATCGTTCTTACAGGCCATTGTATCCAATTCTTCAGCTCCCTTAACAATTAATTAATAAACATGAATGGCTCTCTCGCAGACCCCTCGGCATCAAGTCTAGACGCAAGTGAGTCGCATGCCCGACTGACCAGCTGTCCTCGCAGCTAACAGCAATCTAATGGCACAGTCGACTATGACCCCATTGACCACCTCAACCTCTTGTTTTCACATCCCTCGACCGTATCATCGATAAGTCAAGTCTCCCAAGCTCTCAGATACCGCCAGGATGAGCTCTCGTACGAAATCAACGCCCTGGAATCGGCGCAGGCCTACGAGCCGGACTCGAGCCTGGAGCGAATGCGGTCGGCGCAGACGGAGCTCGCGCAGCTCTTTCGCAAAATCGAGACGGTGCGGTCGCGAGCGATAGAGACGGAGCAGAACATCACATCCATGACTGCGGACATTAAGCGACTGGACGGCACCAAGAAGAACCTGACGCTGAGCATGACGGCATTGAAGCGCCTGCAGATGCTGACGACGGCGTACGAGCAGCTGAGGGGCCTTGCGAAGACGAGACAATATCGGGAGTGTGCGGGTCTGTTGCAGGCTGTGCTGCAGCTGATGAAGCATTTCAACAGCTACAGGAGCATAGAGCAGATCGCAACGCTCAGCCGCGAAGTGTCGGAGCTGCAGAGGGAGTTGCTGGAGCAGGTCTGCGAGGATTTCGAGATGGCATTTACAAAGGGGGAGGTCAGCGCCAAGAAAAACACGCTGGTGGAAGCATGCCTGGTCATGGACGCCTTGGGTGAGTCGGCCAAGTCCAGACTGGTCAGCTGGTACATCAATACCGAGCTGCGAGAGTATCGCCAGGTATTCCGGGGCAACGACGAGGCGGGAAATCTGGACAATATTGGACGCAGGTATGCGTGGTTCAAGCGTATGATGAAGACGCACGAGGACGATCATGCCGCCATATTTCCTACGTATTGGCGTGTCAATGAAACGCTTGCTACAGCTTTCTGCGACGGCACGCGCGATGACTTCAAGGGTATCTTGGAGCGTAGTATGCGGCGCCCAGATGGCAACAAGATTGATGTCAACCTGCTTCTCAGCTGCCTACAGGAGACTCTGAATTTCGAACAAAGCTTGGAGAAGCACTTTTCAAACGACCCAAGAGCCAGCATCGATACGCTGAGTTCTACAGAGGAGAAGTCGCACAATTTCAACGGACTCATATCGGTGGCCTTTGAGCCATACTTGAGCCTCTGGGTGGAGTCACAGGATAAACAGCTCGCAGCCATGATTCCAAAATACCGCACGCAGCCTCTCATTCCTCCAGAAGAAGAGTTTACGCCGCAGACGGTCATTTCTTCAGCGTTGGAGCTTTTCCATTTCTACAAGTTGACTTTGTCTCAGTGCGCGAAACTATCTACGAGCGATCGCCTGCTGGATCTGACAAAAACGTTTGCCAAATACTTGGACGAGTATGCTCAGCAGGTGCTGCTGCGGAAATTACAGTCGAGCGGACAAAAGAGCCCCTCGATGCAAGATGCCGTTTTGGTCTTGAACACTGCAGACTTTTGGCATATCAACACCAACCAATTGGAAGAGAATATCAAGAAGCGCATTGACCCGGAATTGGTGTCCAAAGTCGATTTATCATCCCAGTCTGATGCTTTCCTAGGCGTGGCAAGCGCTGCTGTGCTGGCTTTGGTGCACATTGTTGAACTAGACTGCGAGGGCGTCTGGCGGGAGATGAAAAATACGAACTGGAGCACAATGGACAGCGCGGGAGACCAGAGTACCTGGGTAGGTGAGCTTGTCACTCATGTCAACGGCAAGACGGAGGAGATTCTCGGTATCGTTACAAAGCAGCAATACGCGAGGGCATTTTGCGACAACCTCGTGGACCATCTAGTGACAGCCTTTATCAATAATATCGTCCAATGCCGACCAATATCTGAGGTTGGGGCCCAGCAGGTAAGATATATCAAAATGAGCTTTCTCTATTTACTATATGAGAAATATACGGACCAAGAGAAGCTAATCCGAATCTAATAGATGCTTGTTGACAAATACGCACTTACAAAATCTTTTGGAAATCTGCTGTCATATCACAATCCGTCACCAGCGCAGCAAACGCCATCTGCTACTTTTGTGAGGAGAGTTGAGCAAAGCATGAACCGGATGGATCCTCTGCTCAAGACGCTGCAAGTCCGCCAGTCGCCACCAGAGGGCCTTGTGCAGGCATATCTCATACATATTGCGGACCGCTCAGACACAAACTTCAAGAAGATCCTGGAGCTCAAGGGCGTGCGCAAGATGGATCAGGTTCACCTGATTGAGCTATTTGGAATCCATCGTGACGGCAGTTCCAACGATAAGCTCGCTCAGAACTCTCCGCTGCTGACACCCTTGATGTTGACATCCAATCTCAGCAGCGCTGGCGGCTTGGGTGCCATCAACACAGCCTCTGCTTCCCTAGGAGGCGGCTCAGCGAGATTTGATGCAGGGTCGCTAGGCGAGAAGCTACTCAGTGCGGCAAGGGACATTAGCAACACTAGCCAGAGCGGCTCAGACAAGGCGACGATTAATGAGAATCTGAGGAACTTTGGCAAGTTTTTCAAGAGAGATATAAGTGGCCTGGGGCTGAAGTTTGGGATGCGCGATGGAGTTGAGGACGGGCATCGATAGAGGCGCTTAAAGCCTGAACCGAGACGAGTGGCAAGCCGGTTTGGATATACCTAGGTAGGCGTAATACCTAGCATCGCAAATAGATGCCAACAATTGCGCTGGAAACGTCGCCAGACTGGCTTCTGCCCCTTTGACACCCTGTCGTTTTCTTAGAAATACTCGAAGCTTGAATCAGCATTTTATGAACTGCTACTATCTTTAATCTCGAACGGATTTGATGAGTGGCCCAATACACAGCGGAGATTGATTTTAGATCTAATTGATAATCAAAGCATCGCAAATAGATGCCAGCATCAGCGCCGAAATCACGTCACCAGACTATCTTCTGCCTTGACACCCTGCATACTTATTTAGAACTCCTCGAAACTAGACTCAGCATCTTATCAGCTCCTTGCTCTCCATGATCTCAAAACAGATTCCAAGTTTCGATGTGGCTTGACAAATAGTACGGGCACAGCTACCATCCAATTAGGCCTAGTCACTCTGCATTCCTTCTCGCCCCAGCATATTCCACACTGGGTTGCCGAGGAGTTGCCGCGAAGAGCTTAGAAATCCGAGGCCAGGCCGATCTAGAAAGAAAAAAAATTGGCTGTGGCTATACAGTGTTGAGTAGCCCAGGGGTCTTTTTTTCCACAATTTCCAATCGATAGGCAAAAGCCCCGCCATCCGCCGAACTCGTCCATAACCACACTCTTGTTTCTATTATCAACCATCACGGAGCTACTATTCTTATAAATAGAACGTCACTCCTTTCGATATCTCCTTCTTTTTCTCTTCTGGTGGATTATATATAAAAATCGCCCAACCTGTTCGCCTCAACTTTCCGACGAACGCTGCGTTCGAGTGCTGGGCTATCGATTGCCGCTGCCGCCACCATATTCACAAAGAACCCCTCCAAGACACCCGTTGTTGAACAAGGAGCCAGAAAGATGCACAGCAAAGTTGTCGGTATGTTTCTTCTTCTTCCTATTGAATCTCTTCTACATCTTGACCTCGAAGAGAGTAAACGAGGAATTGGGCTAACTCTCTTATTTGTGCAGTCATCGGCTCCGGCCCCGCGGCCCATACCGCTGCCATCTACCTCGCCAGAGCCGAACTGAAGCGTAAGTCTTTTCTACAAACTTCCAGAGAAACAAGAATAATACTGACTTTCTCATCCAACAGCCGTCCTCTACGAAGGCTTCATGGCCAACGGCACCGCCGCCGGCGGCCAACTCACCACCACCACCGAGGTCGAAAACTTCCCCGGCTTCCCCAAGGGCATCATGGGCCAGGAGCTCATGGACAGCATGCGCGCCCAGTCCGAGCGCTTCGGCACCGAAATCGTCACCGACACCGTCACCAAGCTGGACCTCTCCCAGCGGCCCTTTTCCTTCAGCACAGAGTTCAACCCGGACGAGACCCACACCGCCGACTCCGTCATCATCGCCACGGGAGCCTCAGCGAGACGCCTGCACCTCCCCGGCGAGGACAAGTACTGGCAGAACGGCATTTCCGCCTGCGCCGTGTGCGACGGCGCCGTGCCCATCTTCCGCAACAAGCCGCTGTTTGTCATTGGCGGTGGTGATTCCGCCGCCGAGGAGGCCACCTTTCTGACAAAGTACGGCTCTCACGTCACGGTGCTGGTGCGCCGCGACCAGCTGCGCGCCAGCAAGGCCATGGCCACGCGGCTTCTCAAGCACCCCAAGGTGACTGTGCGCTTCAACTCCGTCGCCACAGAGGTCAAGGGCGACGACAAGGGCCTGATGAGCCACCTGGTCGTCAAGAACGTCGTCAGCGGCGAGGAGGAGACGGTCGAGGCAAACGGCCTCTTCTACGCCGTCGGCCACGACCCCGCGACCAACCTGGTCAAGGGCCAGGTCGACGTCGACTCCGAGGGCTACATCCTCACCAAGCCCGGCACCACGGAGACGAGCATCCCCGGCGTGTTTGCCGCTGGTGATGTTCAGGACAAGAGATACCGCCAGGCCATTACCAGTGCCGGTACTGGGTGCATGGCTGCTTTGGAGGCGGAGAAGTACCTGACTGAGCTGGAGTAGGTGTATATAGAGATGTGAATTTAGCATATAAAAGTAGAAGGCGTATATATCCCTATATCAGACATACAAATTTTGATTTGGAGCACCAAAAAACCTGTGCCAACAGACATGTGTAAAGTAGATTCAATGAAATGCATCAAATATGCAAGAGAATATGGAAAAAAATGATGGCAATATAGTTCTGAGACAAGTAGCTCAAACAGTCATCATACAACAGAAGGATTCGTACATATATGACGACCCTCAACAGTATGGACCGCATTATCTATGTATCCCAACTCTTTGTCCTTGATCTAGTCCCTTTTATAGTCGTCTGCAGATTGCTCGACAGACTGGATATGGCCTGTCCGCCACAAAGGCCCTCGGCTTCCATAAAATCATCCATGCCCATGTTACAAACATTACTCTAGTGATAACCAACGCTGATATCAAAAATACGAAAATTCACAAAACATTCTTCTTTTCCTTTCTTTCTGCTTCTACTCCAACTCCAGCACAGCGGGGGCTGTGATGGTCTTGCCCTTGAGATGCTCCAATCCCTCACCACCCTATTACACATGTTAGTACAAGGCCGAGAGACATATAGGTAACTAGCAAAGCAAAAACTTACGTAGCTGATGAGGGGAGAGACCTCGACACCTCCCTCAGAGACAACCGTGGCACCGGCAGCCTGGACCCAGCGAAGGCCTTGGTTCATGATGTCAGCTTTGCTGGTCTCGGGGTCGTCCTGGCCGGTGCCGCTGGCGTTCTTGAGAGGAGAAAACTCATCGGCACGGTTGACCTCCATGCAGGCAAACTTGTCAAGAGCGAGAAGAGGGAAGCAGTCAAAGACAAACTGCTCAAGCTTGATGCCGTTGGGCTTGGCAGGCTTGACCAGCTCTCCAGACTCAAGGTCGGTGGCAGGAATCTTCTTGCGGGCGACGTGGTGGGGCAGCTTGTGGGCCCACAGAGGGATGCTCTCCAGGAAGCTGAAGGAGTAGTAGTGGTTGACAATGTTGGCGGCGCGGTACTTGAGGAGCTCGGCATTGCTGGGGTCGCGAGCTTCAGCAGTCTCCTTGTCAATCTCGGAGTACTCCACAACATCAGGCTTGCCGTTCTTGGTGAGGATCAGGCCAACAGACTCGGTAGCATCACGCTTTCGGACGACCTTGGTGGCAATGTCGACGTTGAGGGATGCAGAGAAGCCGATGAAGACGGGGTCGGCGACCTTGACAAGGCAGTTGTCAACGCAGTAGGCGTGGATGTGCTGGATACCGCGCTTGCGCATGTCATCCAAGACGCCAGAAACGATGAGAGCCTGGTAGATGCCGCCGTTGCCATCAGGGGCGACGGCAACCTTGCCCTTGCTCTCCAGAATGATCTTGCCCTCGTTGGAGATGCAAGGCAGAACACCCTGCTCAAAGATCTTGACGTTCTCCTTTTGGAGGCCAAAGAAGTTGTTCTCGGCGAAAAACTCCTCGGTGGGCTTGCGGGTAGGTCCGCTGGTCATGACGTACCAGGGGACGACGACCTTGTCAACACCAGCCTTCTTGGCAGCCAGCTGCTCGACCTTGCGGATACGCTCAGCCTGGATCTTGAAGAGGGGCTTGTGGGAGGGCAGGCCAATGTCGAAGCAGCCCTTGGGAGCGGAGCTTCCCAGTCTGGTTCCCTGGCCACCGGCCATGAGCACGACAGCAACCTGGTTGCTGCCAATGAGGTCAAGACCGGACTCGTACCACTTGTTGATGTCGACCGGGCTCGAGTCAAGGATACTGGCGGTAGCGGACTCGGGGAGGGGCTCAAGCTTGGCAGCCGTCTCCTCAACCTTGGGGGGGTTCAGGGCTCGGTCGGCGATCTCGTTGATGTGGGCTGGGTCAAAGCCAGAGAGCTGCTCGAAGAAGGCAGCCTTCTCGGCAGTGCTCAGGTCGTCGTAGAAGGTGAAGACATGGCCCTGATCAGCCTTGGTGTACTTGTCCTTGAGCTGGGAAACGGCCTCAGACGAAGGCTCAGTGTGGCCATTGGCGTAGCCGTTGGAGTGGCCATTGGTGCCTTTGTGCAGGGCATTCTTGATGGCTTCCATTGTGAAGGTGGGAGTGGAAACAGAAGTAAATGGCAAAAGTATTAAAAGGCTGATAGATGGCAGAATATGGTATTAAAATATGAGGATACAAGCGAGTGTAGATCCCAATGGACAGAGGCAATGGCGGAGGAGAGGAATAAAGAGAAGAAGCCAAAGGATGATGTCGAGGAAAGCAAAAAACCAGGGAAAGCTCCAGTAAAGTATGCGCAGGAGGCCGGCTTTGGCCAGGAGAGAAAGGAGAAGCCTTCTGCTAGAGGCTGATGGAAGCGGACCTGCTCTCCACCCCGGGAGTACCTGCGTCGCCCGCCACTCGGCGCTGCAGGCCAGGTTGCTCGCAGGTATCTCGCCCGTACCGCCTACCAAGTCCGTACCTGAGACGCGCCTCTCCTGGCTGACGTCGTGCTGCTTCTAGCCACTGCCCACCCCTCCAAACTCGCTGTCTAGGGGGGCTACATTAGTGCGAGGAGCTTAACAACAACAAGCCCACCAAACTTTAGCGGGTATTCGTGCAAGACCGCCATCCATCCCCCTGTGAATACCTACATAGTACGTGTGCCGCCTTGATACTACTGAGGCTTCTTTCTTGGCATCACCGCAGCACCACAAGTGAAGCAAGTGCTGTGATGGAAGCAGGTACTGATACTTTACTGCTGGCTATTGATGGAATCTCGGAGATGAATTTACAAAAAGAATCAATCAATCTTCAGAACTGACTAGCGGCAGCGAGCTAGAGCCGGCACAGACTGAGATGAGGCCAGCGGAAATGGCTGCTGCTATTTTGAGCTTCTTGGGAGGCGGTGCGGCAATTGTCTTGTCAGCCCTCCGCCTCGCAGGAACGCTGCAGGCGCATTCTGCATTCACTGTGGGCTTTGCTCGGCCAGCTAAAACCCCTAGCGTTGCCAGTGGATTTCGCACCTGAACGTCGTGGTGAGCGCTCAGCTACCGAAAAAAGGTCGTGCATGTTTCCAGCCGTCTTAGTCAGGAAAAAAAAAGCCCTGGCTAAAGATATTTCGACATCAATGATGTGCCACGCATTGTTAATGGATAATATTGTCAGCCAAGGCGATGCACTCCTCCTCTTGTCTTAGCTGCTCATCCGATTTGGAAACGATAAACAACAATAGAGAGCCAGTAGATGCTGCGTCGTCTGCATGAGTAGCTGCAGCACATGCGCTTCCGAAATGCATATCCGGAGCCGATCTCCCCGTATGGGCCCTCCTAAGAAAACGTCAACATGGGCCGGATACGAGCGCCAGGGCAGCGGGCCTCCCGATTCGAGCCGCACATGGTTTTGTGTGTCTGGCCCCTATCTTTTGGTCTGTGATTGGGGTGGGATGACGATGATGGGTGCGCGACGTGCATGTGCAGCATCCCTATGGAATGATTGCTGGCAGCGTGACGCCTGTTTATTATTGCCCTTTAATATGGAGTAAGTGAGGTTGGTTCATACATGTAGTTGTGATTCGTGGTCGAGGCTCTACTAGGCAATCCCTGTCCTCGGTATTGCTTCTAGAAGTATACCTACTAGAACTGGACATCAGTATTTTTCCCAGAGACGATGTCAGCAACCCTGCGGCAACCAAGTCGACTCGGCACGGCCTTGATCTCTGTTTAGACTTGGCTAGCCAACACCCTCTTCTATGCCGGCTTGACGGTGAGAGCCAAGGGTTCGAGCAGGGACTGCTTCTTTTCACGACGCACTCCGTACGGGGTGCTCCACACATACCTAATACTATCCCGTACTTGTAGTGCTAGCATCACGCATGTACGAAGTAGCAGTAATAGCAGTAATACTTATTTAGACAAATTTCTTGCTGCATCGAGCAGTAGAATGGTAATCAAGCAAACCACTAAAACAAGATTTCTGCAAGGGGCGGGTTGCAGCAATGTCGTGTTAGTGTTGAATCGTGTACACGGTTGTATGGCTTCTGCACGACTTGGCGGACTAGACGTGCATCCCCCTGATCCAACTGCGGTGACCGAGATGCTGTGATATTGCAATATCAGAAGTGGCCGTTACTCTGTACCTGTACATCAAATCCATCTGTGAATGAGCAATCCAAGCATGGTGCAGCCACTGGTTCCGGGAGTTCACCGCAAGTTCGCTTCATTCTCATTAAGCTGGGACGAGTTAGTAGTGGTGGTTACCCCTGCATGCTGCTTGACTTGTAAATTATTATACCATCTTGAAGATCAGATATACAGTACCTGATGGCTCGTACGACCTCCTGAGACAGCAGAAAGAGGAGGAAAACGGTTGGCTCATCTCCTTATCGTGGGAGGTTGGTCCATGTAATTGGTAACGGAAATGTGTGCCGGTCCTTTTTTGGACGAAAGTGGTGAGCGGCTCGCACGTGATTGGTGCTACTGCTTCTGTCCCTCGTTGAAATACCTTGCTCTGTGTACTCCCTACTGGTCCAAATTTACTGCAGAGGCAACCACGTTTGCAGCATCAGTCGACCGACTGGTCTATCACTCCGCTGGAACCCAATTGCAGATGATGCACGATCTCCCGCCCCGTGCGCGCGGGCCATCGAATGGAACAGTTGGTCTGTGGCTGTGTCGACGCTAACAAACACTTGTTGGCTCAATGTTTCTAGCCCCGGCAGCCTCAGAATCAGCCGCTCCACGAAGCCCGGTCCAAGATGGAGCCAAGGTGAAAGATGAGAGAATGCAAAGAGCTGCTTCGAATGAGCTGTTTGCCAATCGATTGCTTTTTCGATGTAGCTGCAGGCTTCATTCAGCCGCATGTCTTTATTAGTGTATAGACAATTTACTACCATCATCAATCCCCTACCAAAGGATTCGAGTTTGCCAACAATGCTCATGCAGCCACATATATAGCGGCTGATTAGTAAGTGTGGCACAAATATAGACGGCGACTCCTTTTGTCATCTTTGTACCGTTCATGATCTTACAGGTCACTCCAGCGAAAAGGGAATTTACCAGGCAGATTTTCCTGACATCCTTTGAAACATGAACCTGAACAAGTCTTAGCGCGCCATATCCACAGCCAAACAAGAACAATTAACCCCGTCTAAATAAGCATTGTCAGCGTCAATTTGGGCACAGAGAAGGCCTCAGCTTATACACGCCTTCACGCCTTTCACGTCTTACACCCACCGAGTGATTTGATGAGTTCCACCATGGAGCCAGAAGCTGAGATTCCAAATGCTGGCGACAATGTAGATGCTCCAAAGCCTGCTACATTTGAGGGCCGCTTACAGTTAAGAAACTTCATGTACAGCGCCCCACAGCAGCCCATACGGAGGAGTCCTCGGTTTGCAGCTGCGTCTGAATCACCGTCACCATCTTCATCCTCAGCGACCACCGTGACGAAGTCTCCATCATCCAAGAAAAGACGTCAGACACAAACTCCGGACGAATCATCATCTTCGTCCCCGCAGAAGAAGAAGCGCAATCGCCAAAAGTCTGGCTATGCTCCACCCTCAACTTATGCCCACTTACCAGAGCTGCCTGACGCCGTCGCACCCAATCTCCTGGTGTTTTTCATCGGGCTGAACCCCGGCATAGAGACTGCTCGGACAGGCCATGCTTATGCACACCCTTCCAATCTATTTTGGAAACTCCTCTTCTCGAGCGGCGTGACGCCCGTGCCGTGCCGAGCCGACGAGGACAGACAGATGCCGGAGCGGTTCAGCCTTGGGCTCACCAACATCGTGGCACGGCCCAGTCGAAACGGCGCCGAGCTAAGTAAGCAGGAGATGGACGATGGCGTCTCTCTCTTGGAAGACAAAGCTCGCAAGTGGCGGCCAGAGAGCATGTGTGTTGTTGGCAAGAGTATCTGGGAGAGCATCTGGCGTGTACGCCACGGGTCTCCCGTAGGCAAGGCGTTCAAATATGGGTGGCAAGACGAATCTGAGAACATGGGCATCATCAAGGGCGAGTGGGCGGGAGCAAAGGTATTTGTTGCAACGAGTACAAGTGGTCTTGCAGCATCCATGTCCCCGGCCGAAAAACAGGCTGTATGGAACCAGTTGGGCTCCTGGGTCAAGACAAGAAGAGCTGAAAGAGAGGCTGAGAAAGAGAAGGAAGCTGAAAAGAAGGAGAGCGAGACTGAGCAAGTAGAGGCAGCGGCCGACGCAGATTCATAGCATTAAACGACTCTTTGACCGTATGGTTCTGTTACTTTAAAAGGGCATAGCGATGGTTATACCGAGGCCCATCGAGGCGCCACGATGATTAGGTCAAATAACGTTAACTATAGCTGAAGCATACTTCGTAGACACCGGTATTATGCGTGAATCTTATGAACCGAAAAAAATGAATTGCAACAAGTTACTAGATAAATGTTTGGGCTAATCAGAATATTGATGCTTGCAGGTGTTCTTACTTGTATGTTGTTGTACGCTTGCACCCCACCAAGACCAATCATACGCGCCGCGCAAATCCCATCCTCCACCAAAATGACATCGTCTCCGAGCTAGCTACAACTTCAAGCTTTCCCAAACTCATCCACCTACAACACCAAAAAACATTCTCTTTGAACACGGTAAATTATTCTAGAGAAAAATAGGACAGTAAAATGTCGTCTATAGGCCCCCAGCTCCCACCACAGATCACAAAGCGAAAGCACGACGAAGACGACGAATCCACATCCTCGTCAAACAAGCATCCCCGTCGCGACAATAACGCTGCGCAACCCCCACGAAACCAAGACGAGATAGCCATCAATGGCTCCGACTCAGATTCAGAAGATGACTATGGACCGCCCAGGCCATCTACTCTACCAGCAGCACCTGCTCCTCGGAGCGTAGGGCCATCTCTGCCACCGCACCTCGCCGCAGCCGCGAATAACGAAGACGAGATCAATCTCTCCGACTCGGACTCAGATCCTCTTCCACAACCTCCTCCAGCCACCGATTCCAATTCTCACAACCCAAACCCAGACTCTGAATCCTCAGACGATGACGACGACTTCGGTCCCTCCCTCCCCTCCGCCTCAGCTCCTCGCCGTCAAATCGGTCCATCTCTCCCTCCCTCAGTCGACGACGCCCCCAAACGAGACGAATGGATGCTCGCCCCGCCACCCTCATCATCAACCTTTTCCGAGCGCGACACGACGAAGCTCCGCGCCCGCAAATTCGCCTCCAAGCCGTCCGCCAAACCATCTTCCGCCCCCGGCGCCCCATCAATATGGACAGAGACACCCGAAGAAAAACTCAAGCGCCTACAGGACGCTGTCCTCGGACGAACATCCGCGTCTTCTTCCACCGAAGCTGGCGGCGACGCGTCGGAGCTGCAGCGCAAGAAGCAGCTCCGTGACGAGGCCCTCGCGGCGGATATCCAGGCTCAGCGCGGGAAGACGCTGCTTGAGGAACATCAGGGCGGGAAGAAGAAGGCTGGACCGGCAGCGAGACCGGAGGATGAAGAGGATGATCCGAGCAAGAGGGCGTTTGATAGGGAGAAGGATATGGCTGTCGGGGGCAGGATCACAGCGACGCAGCGGAAGGAGTTGATTAATAAGAGTGCTAACTTTGGGGGGAGGTTTCAAAAGGGATCGTTTTTATAATGGCGAGTTTGGAAGACGGATATGTTTTGATTAGACGAGTTTTGCATAAGGCATATAGCAGCTTGTGAGGATAATTCAGCACTTGAAGAACAAACATTCTATACACGGCGTTGAATCTGAGCGGTTATATCATAGATGTATGAAATTACAATACTTGGATAGGTATATCATCGTACATTGCATTCTTTAGTCACTCGAGTTATAGTTCGGTTCGAAACGTTTACTTCTTCCTCTTCACATGATCCTGTATATTGATAACAATGAGCTACCAAAAGAGATGTCACTATAGCCACCCAACTCCGCCGCTGATATTTCCCATACCATTTCTCCATCTTCACCCAACGCTGGGAGTTCCCAAACTGTAAAAAGCGAGAATTTTCCTGTCCCAATGCAGGCTAACTAAAAACCAAAACAAAAAGCAAAAACCCATTCGTACATGATAAGATACCCATCTCCTTTCATACATAAATGGGGAAAAAAATGTCGTCACCGCCCTGATACACCATATTTCCCGAAAGAAGCTACCATATTGTAAAAAGAAAAGAAAAAGATACCTTACCTTTGTTGCTTGTCCATTCAAAGAGCTCATATATACGTTGACAGTTCCCTTTGAGCGGTGGAATGTGTGACTTTGTCGTTTGAATGGATGACAATCGAAAGAGACAAAGGAGGGATGAAGCTCCAGAGATGCTTTCATGATGCGGATATATTCCGAGGTAGTGGTGGATGTGACTATATAAGTCTTTCATGACGGGTGTGTTCAACACATATGCTGATAAAGAGAGAATACCATCGCTGCCTTGAAAGAAACAGGCCCCAAAAATAGAGTGATCAGACCGAAACAGAGAAACCAGGTCACGTAAAACCCCCCAAAAAAACAAACGCCAAAAACAAAGACGCAGCAAGCCTCTTTATGTAGAGGTGGCTGGCGGTTGCGTGCCTGCCTCAAGCTGCGACGGAGTCACTGCCGGTGCCGCACTTGTCGAGGGTGCCTCGGTCGACCGTCCGAAGCGGAAAGCGTGTCGAACAGAGGCAAGTAATGTGCCCTGGGCAGCTGGCTGAGCGGTCTCAGTAGTCTGGCTCTGTTGGTGTGCTATTCTAGACTCTATCGCCGTAGTCTGAGCCCTTCTCCGCGTTGGGAACTGGAACATGGAAGGCCGGGTGCTCGAGTTGTTGTTGTTGCTACGGCTATTGTTGCTGTTGCCATTGCGGTTACTGCTGCGGTTGCTGTTGCGGCTGTTGCGAGAGCGGCCACCCGAGGTTCGGAAGAAGGCCGCAGTCAGGCTGGCAGGCAAGTTCATGCGAGAGTTCTGGTGCGGGTCCAGGTTGGCATTGTTGGCGGCATTAGGCTCGGTCTCTGGGTTGGGTCTAGGCTTCGGGACGTAGTAATCGGCCTTGCACAGCGGGCAGCATGCGCGACGGCTTGTCAGCCAGGGATCGACGCAGACGGCATGGAAGGTGTGACCGCATGTCAAGCCGCGGACGTCGTCGTCGTCCTCGAGGGTGTCGATGCAGATGGCGCAGGTATCGCCGGAGGTGTTGAGAAGTTCCGGGGGCAGGGCAGCTGTGATGTGCTCATCGTCCTCCTCGTCGTCTTCGTCATCTTCCTCCTCGCTAGAAGTCCGCTTCAAGGGGTCATGCGGCATCACGGGTCCGTCCTCCTCAGAGGTTTCGCCGACGGTGGTGGTGGCGTCTTTCTTATCTTTCTTAGCCTTGTTGTCGTCTCCCTTGACAGTGGTTTCAATAATAACGGGCTCGGCTTCGGTGGTCGGCGATGCAACCGGTGACGCGACATCGTCGATTGCGCGGACCTCGGTTGACGTGCGCTCCTTCTTGGCAATCTCTGGGACCGCAAGGTCTACCTGATGAATGCTGTTCGGTCGACTAGGCGTGCCAACACCTCCGGCAGTAGGCAGTCCATCCCGAGCGCGCTCCGAGACCCAAGTCTTGTACTTCATCATGGGGAACTTGTCGTTGACCTCGTCCATGGTCATGAGCTTCTTCTCACGCCTTCTTCGGTGAGGTCGAGGCATGTTTTCCATGTGGATGGGTTCGCCATCTTCGTTGGTCATGTTTCGAGCCCGGTTGCGAGCGTTGTACCTAAAGCAGTACTTGACGCCAACGATGATCCTGCCAAATGCGTTAGACGAGTGATGAGAATTGTGGGAACAAGACAATCAATTGAGAGATATATATGCATGTGCATGCATAGAAACGGATATACGTATGCCAAGACGGCCAAATTGTGCATGCTTACCAGAGGTTTGTGAAGACTACGCCAAAGCCCAAGGCAACGAAGAAGAGAAGCGGCGAGCTGGAGCCGCTGCTCTTGTTGTTGTTGTTGGAGCTGTTCGTGTTGGAGGGAATGGCCGTCTGCGGGCTGGTGACGTCTGACGACGTGGCCGTCGCGGATTGTGTGGTGGTTGTCGCAGCTCTCACGACAATGTGGGCAACTTCGCCAAGGACCTGGTCAATAACAGCCATGGCTGGTTATCTGCGACAGAACGAAGAGCGATGGCAGGCGGCAGCGATGGATTCGAGGCCGTTCGTTTGTTATTTACACGTGCCGAGACACAGACAGCATGGATCGTGCGACGGTGGTCGGGCTCTCTCTATTTCCAGAGCGTTGCAGAGGCTCGGAGTCGTCGGAGCACTGAGGGGGTGCACCATACAAGGCTGAGGTTGGAGCGCTCTTTTGTTGTTGGCGTCGTTTGTTCCTTTGCCTGATTGCTTGTTTCTATTCTGGGTTCTTTATAAAAAGTATCCTTTGTGTCGCCTCCAAGCGGGAAAAAATCAGCGGATGGTGAGGCGAGAGAGAGAGAAATAAGCATTCGATCCTCCCTGCGAATCGACAGCTCCAGACGCTGAAGGGAACGGGCGTCTCAAGGGCTGATTGCGCGGCTTACGACACGCGCGGGAGGGAGGAAGTAGGAAAGATGAACTAGCAGTATCAAGTGGAAGAAAAAGAGAGACCCGGGAGCATCAAATGGACTCGAAACTGCGGAGTGCAGCAGCAGGTGGAGCGCCTTTAAGAGAAAAGAGGGCGGGCGATTCGAGCAGCGGCTTGGATGTGAGTGAGCGAGCGACGGGCCCCATTCCATTCATTCACCATCAGGAACCCGGGCCTTGGCCGCGACGGTCGCCAGTACCTGCCAGCAGCGTGCGAGCCGGCGCGGCCGCGAGGTATGGGGTACCGAGTTGGACGAGGGCGCCAGGAGAGCGGCTTGAGCCCGCTGCTAACGACCACTGCCAGCTTAGCTGCTCCAGCACTAACGACGGAGCTGCTCCAAGCAACTAGCGCTACCACCACAGCAGGGGCGCCAGTGGTCTCTCCCCTCTTTTCGCTGCTCACCTTTACAGCAGGTTGGTCGTTGGGAGGGGGGTGCGCCACTGGCTCAGCGCAATGGACACTGTGCGCTGGGCCGGTCGCTGCGCTGTGCTCAATGGCTGTGGCCGGGGCTTGCGCTAAGCAGGCCCGCTGGGGGAAGCGCTCCAGAGCAGAGCTCAGAGGGCGCTGGGGGTGGAGCCGGTCCTTGTGTGGCTGCGACGCGCTGGTCTCCAGGGCCGTATTGCCGCTGTAGCGTGAAGCGTATTGGGGCCTGTTTGGCGGTAGCAGCGAGTACATGCGCCGACGGCGTTGCAGTTGTGCCGGGGATCTGACCTGATGCTGAATTCGAGCTTGATCAATGCAGTAGATGCACTTGGCAGCAGGATGAGGCTGCGCAAAGCTACAACAATACGAGCAAAGGAAAAAAGAAACGCACGTCCGTCGTATGCGAGACAATGACCACGCATGCACGTACTTTCGTGTAAGCGCACGCGGGACGGTTCGGTCGGACAATTATGGACCATCGACGTGCATTCACACATTCAGTATACGGCCGCATCCGCATGTAGGTATCCTGCCCAATGCTACATCGAATCTACCTGCGCATCTCAAAAGGGCAGCGCAGCACTGATTCAGCCAGGCCGAGATGCCAGCTGAAGCACAAAACTCAATTTGAACTTGCCTCTCACTCCCTCGCTTACTGAGTCAGGCTTGAGGCCTAAACTGTGATGCCGCTGCCTCAGTTTCCGCAGCCGTAGCGCCTCTGCCGTCGGCAGGGGCGACAAAAAGCAAAAAAAAAAAAAAAAAAAAAAACAGGCACCAAAAAAAGAGCAGAGGATGATTACATGGACGTATTCAACGCCCCAACCGTTGTCTAACAAGACGGTGGCTAAAGTTGAAAATGTCTAAGAGATATAAAACACGTAAGGTAAAATCTACGGAAGCAGTAGAAGATAACTTGCAACCTACATATGGCTGTGTTAGTCACGGCTAGGGTGTTGAGCTACTGATATCAGCTGAAACCAAGGCAACCCAATGAATTTTACTTGTCTCACAATAAGGCCGCAAATAGTCACAGTAGAATCCACCGCCAGCTACGCTCTACTCGGGATTTTCTTCCTTTTCTTTTTTCCCCCTTGTTTTACCACTATGACCAAGCTGTCCTGGAGAACAGGGATTCGAACAAAGCCTCAGTCACACCGAGTTACCGCGCAGGCACGGTGAGATCGGAAGAGCACACGNNNACACTTTTTTTTTT